GTTTCACAACTTTTTGCGCGGGATATCATACGCTTGGGAAAATTCTAAGAATGGCATCCCCCCCCCCTTCGGATCGAAGGGTGAATTGTATGCAGCGCTCTTTGTGGGGATTCGGCGGGGAATCCTTGGGGCGATCAAGCTATGGGGCACACAACACTTAGCAACAGAGGAATTGGCCGTGCTGGGAGGTGTGTTGGTGAAGGTATCAGAGTCATCGAGGCGAAACCTTGGGAAGAAACGCCACAGCACCAGATGGCGTTCGCATTAGCACCTGCAGGTTTGCTTGAAGTTGTGATATAGTTCCACGAGGCCATCATAACCAGGGAAGAGTTAACTGGGATGAGGAACTGGGGGGCTAAGGGGCGAAGGGAAAGCTTCTAAGGAAAAGAAAAGAAAAAAAAAAAAAGGCATACGGTAGTGGATTATTGAGAAGACCGCCAGGCATCATAGGGGGTGCCTGAGACCGCCCTCTCTCCCTCCAAATGCGGCGGGTATGGTATGGTATCAAGGCACTTTGGGTCAATGATTCTTAGCCATCCCAAAAGTTTCTTATCATCCTTCGAACCGCACAGTCTCCCAGGGACGAGCTACGGTAGATCATCTGCATATCACCACCGAGTTAGTTTCCGGCCCTGAACTACCTCTACTTCTCCGCCTATGGCGCGAAATGATTACCGTAATTTGGGTTGGCGTGGCGGGGCGATCTCAAAACTCAATCTTAGGCAAGTGGGATTTAATAGCTTAGCACACGATTCCGAATCACAAGTTAGTAGCGGGGGTGCGCAAAACACTCCTCAAGAGCGCAGTACTGCACCATTTGTTTGAGCTTTGCCATTCCCAATGACTTGCTGATCTTACTCTGTGATCCGGGCAGATATTTCTCGGGGTGGAGATTGAGAGGCGATATAAAACGACCGCGTTATATCCCACTCGACACATTGGATGATAACCCTACTACTCGTACTGTAACTCGTACGAGTGCTCCACAATCCACTATGTCCGACGGGCCTCTGATCTCCGTGTTCTGAGACAAAAACACCCGAAGAAGTATTAGTTGCTTTCCTTACGCGGTGGAGTCTGAGTGTGCTGGGTGCGTTGGATCTTGTTAGTTGATTGGTATTCGCTATTCTGATAATCTGTCGGACTTGGCTCAACCTATCGTGGCTTAATGTGGGGGTTGACGGAGATCAGAGGTCTGGCGGAGATAGTGGATAGAACGAGTACGATTTTAATGCGGTATTGTTTAGCATATTTTTAAGTCATGGAATTTTCATCATACACACACACACGAAGATGGTGATTTTCTCACTCAAGAAGTTTGCCTACTCGAGTATGATACAAGTACAGAGATGTTCTTAGAAGGGCGGGTCGGTTTCCTCTTTTGATTTAGTGTGGTAAATCAAGAAGATTTTTCTTCTATCATCACGTTTCTATCAGCAATATCAGCGGGATGGAAGGAATCAAGTCTTTGTGAGAGGAGAGGAGTTGTCAAGAACCTACCCACGCCTTATCTAACGGCAGAAGAAAGAGGATACGGAAACGGAAGCAGTATACTACTGCTCCACAATTATCCCGCGCTCGTCCACACTGCGAATCCAAAGATCACTCGAAGCGCACTTGTACTATACACCGTACCAGCCGGATAAGCTCCCACGATCTCAAGAAAGTTGCATGCGAATAGTTTGCTACTTTTGTACAATGCGATAGCTGGCCCGACGTCATTCCACCAATAACATCCAGCTCTTGGAAATACGGTGATCCTGCAAGAAGTTTTCTCCTGAATTCTTGACCAATTCGGAGGTATCTTTTGATTCCGTTTTTCTCCTCTTTCTTGCTTTCCATTTCCATCCATCCTTCCCCCATTCCGCCCAGCTCGCTAGACATGCCTTGCTCGGGGCAGAAGCAGGAAAGAGAGAAGAAGAAAAAAGAAAAGCGCAATGTTCGGTCGTAGGAATTGGGCAGCGATATCATTATCCGGACATGCATGCATACATACATACATATACACTTTCGCCTTCTTCGAGAACAGTATGATACGGTATCTCAAGGGAAAGTCCCCTTGAATGGAGAGCGATAAATCCCGGAATAAAAATGTTAGAAGCCTCACTGGATATGAGGGATGGGTGGAAGAGAAGTTGTTGAATGATCGTTATTAAGAGAAAGGATTGAAAGAGAAGCATAAGCAACAGGAACCGGAAGCAGCAAATACGGGTGGGCAACATTGGAGAAGAAATAAGGACATTTTGTGTTGGACGCGCAATCACTTTTTCGAACAAAAAAAATCCAGATACCTGAGTGATGTGCCATGAAGCTGGACTCAGAAACATCATAAATTTTCGCTCGCATGGAACAAACTCCCCCGCATGACCGGTTCGGAAGGGGGCCAAAATGTTTAGGCTATATCGCTACTTGGACGTTAAGGAACTGATGTTCTCCTCCCCTTCCTTTCTTTAAAGATGACCCCGTACATACTTCTGCAGGGGAACTGTTTTACCCGGAAACTATGATACCAAGGTTGCCACCCCCGAAGGCAATGATGTGCGGAAATTTTTCTTCCCCTTTCTTGTCGCCCATGGATGTAGGGATACCCCCTATTGCTCAATCCATCAAACTTGTGAGAGCGGTGAAATGGTTGATTATATATTATCGTGTTAGTTGGGGGTCGATGATGGAGTATGGTGGGGAGGGGAACCTTTTCCGTTTATTTTTCTCGGACTGTACTGTACAGTACGTAGGAGGAGCGAAATGTTTAGCGACCCTCAACGGGGGAGGAAGAACCCGGAACTTGGACTCTGCGGGGGAGCCCGCGTTCTAATACCGTGCGGTATCCACACACAATCTTTTCTTCTCCATCAATTTATTTAGTGGGTTATGGAAGGGTTGGCGACTACGAATAGTTCTTGGGCGAATAAGGTGGCGGGTTCTTAGCTAAATACATCCAACCGGTCGAAAGTGTGCTATTCCGATGAGCGAGGTCAAGCTATATTATATGATGATGGCGATGGCAATGATCTCATGTGAATCGTATACTCGTATATACCGGTGTACGGGAAGGGGTTTGTTTGCATGAGACTTGAAAAGTTGTCGAGCATGAGGGGTGGTGGTAGCGTTAAATATGGGCGGGGGGAAGGATAGATGAGGAGGTTGATTCAGCCGTCGCAGAATATCATATGGTCCTGTAAAGGTTTCGATAACATCCATGGAATGTTTCCGCTACGAGTGTCCACCGCGCGCGGCTACGGATGAGCCCATCCGACTTGGCAGGAGGAGGAGTTCTTCGGTGGAATGATGATGATGTGAAGACTGTTTCGGCGTGAAGCGATGCTGGCATGATGGGCAATAGCGGCAGGCACTGTACGAGTACGAGTACCGGTACTCGTACATATTGCACAAGCATGCAAGTGCGGGTAGTGAAGACTCCATCCTGAAGAGCCCAATGGGAAGAGGGGTGATGAGTGGGTTAGAAGGATGGGGAGGACAGACAGGTTCTTCTTAGGATTCCTGGGTGCCTCAAGTGGAGTGGGCACTGGCAACCCACTCGGGCGCACCCTGCTCGGGCAGGCAGTCGACTCTGGCCAATAGGATACAGTACCGGTAAGCGCAGTGAAGGAAAAGAAACTGGACTGGTATTCAATCGTGGTGCTGTACGGTACTGCACCATACCAGTACCGTGCTCCAGTACTCGGGTACCATCTACACTAGCAAGGCCCAGTTGCCTTTTAACCTGGAGGGCTTTGAGGATGATCGCTGAAGAATGAGTGCTTTGGCTATTGTCAGTGTACGAGTACTCGGGTACCTTGTATGGGGTAAGCGAGATTGTCATAGTCTACCCCATACCGTCATGGCATGAAGACCCTGAGCGAGCACGCTAAACAATCCAACACTGCCCCGTTCCAGAATTCGGGGGTTGCTACTATCATAACCAGGCCCAAACATTAACATGCTGTGTCCTCCAAGAATTTGGGCCATTTCGAATTTATCCACCCAGGAGTCGCTTGTGTGTGACTTTTTGACACAGCGCTGGAGCAAGTTACTGGTACGAGTAGAGTGTCGGGAATCGAAAGCATGGGATAAGGCATTCAATGCGAATAGCTGTCTGTCACACCTCCGCTTTCTGGGATGGATAGATAGATGAAGCTCATTTGTATTCGCTCAGTAAACAAAGCGGTCGCGTCGCACGCGCCCGTAATAGCGATTTTAGGATCGTAGCGTACCTTACCGTGGAAACTGGAATGATTGGACCTCATGCCGGGATGCTAGGAGCAGTATCTCTCCCATTTTACTTGTCTCAGTGAAGAGCCGAAAGCCGGATCCCTTTGCACTGTTTGGCCCCCTCAATCTAGGGAGGGGAATCCTAGACGTCTTGTCGCGAGGTCCAATTACCGGTGTTCCAGTTTCCGCGATATTGTCACTGTTTCAACTCATCAATCGATCAACACAAACAATTCCATTAAACCCACACACACACACTCACTCATACAAGTATGCACACATACCGGTACTGTACGAGTACGAGTACCGGTACACATAAAGACAAGGGCCAATTCCCATCCATGTTTTACCATACAGCCAACCAGGCACGGCGGCATTGTGCCTGGAACTCTGTTTGCCTGATCTTCCAATTGCTTGCAGCCAAGGTACTCTGGGGAGCCAAGCAATGTTTCCTCAGCGTCACAGAGATCCCAACCACCCCTCTATTCGCTCTGATTACCTTCCCCCCCCCCAACCTTTCATTATTTCCTTCCCTCTTTTGCTTTTCACAACCCCTCTCCCATTTGCGGCTCTCCGTGTCGCCACGTACAAGAAAAAAAATATTCGCCTTCTCCCATCAAAAATTGCCTTTCATCTCGGTTTACAACCTCACCACCAACATTGGGTGACGGAACATTGCCGGGCTTCTCTCATCAGCCTTACACGTTCTTTTTTCTATATATATATATATATATGTTCACACACACGCATATATATATATATGTGCTTGAGTGAACGGCATGAGAGAGATGTTCGGCTCCACGAGATGCGCCATAAATCGCGGTGGCTTCTGTTCCATCCCTTTCGCTAATCTCCTCGTTTCCCTCATTGCGATATCGGGTTTTAGTCTTGCCGACCAGATTGTCTCGGCGCAGGACAACGATAACCTCCTCAGCAGATCCGGTCTTGTTCTTGGAACCACAGATGAGGTGCGGCCTATCTCCGTGCCTATTACTCAATGGCTCGGGAGCTCGGGGGAGAATTCGCTCAAGGTTTTTTAGCCCCTTCTCTACCCTTGCGTCCCAAGGCTCTTCTTATGTGCTCATCATACATAATATTATAACTTTCCTCTTTCTACTTTTGCTTTTCCTGTCCTTCTCACGTGATTTGACTTTCCATACTACCGGGCTATGCCTTCATGTCACACCTGTTTCGAGCCTTTTTAGCTTATACCCGCCCGTGTATGATATATAGGATACAGTAAGGACCGCGACCCTCGCTGGAAATCTCAACCTCTACGATTCGAGCTCCAACACAGAGCTGACTGTTGCCGACTTTGCATATATCGACTGTGACAAGGAGAACGCTACCCAAGCTTATCAAAACCTTGTGTCAAACCGAGGCGTGCAGGGTGGAAGCATACCATATGCAGCAATATTCTTCACTACGAAACACGATTACTGCAAGTGGCAGGGTACCGAGAACTTCACATCTCCCTATATATTAACCACCCTGGAACGTCGAAGAGCAGCTGCTTTCCAGAACCTGCTATTGACGACCAAGACGCCTGTGACCGTCAGTGTCTCCTACAACGAATCCGACGACGGAGCGATGCCGGACTCTGGAACCAATGAGCATAGGAACGATCCCCAGAATCCCCTCGGGCCAGCACCTTCCACGGGTGTTGCTTTGATAATCCTATACAGCATCACTGGTGTCATCACAGCCCTTTTCCTTTTGATAATTGTTACCGGAGCCATTCGAGCCCATCGTCACCCGGATAGATATGGACCCAGGTCGACGGCTCGCTTTGGTAGACCAAGGCAATCTAGGGCAAAGGGACTTGCCAGGGCTGTTCTGGATACACTTCCAATCGTGAGATTTGGTGGGGCCAAGGAAGGGGGCGTCAAATCGGATGTTGAATTACAAGAACCGGCAGCACACGCATCGGATGTGGATGGATTGGAGAGGTCGACAACCCAAGTTCTACCGTCCCAGGCTATCCCGGCCGCAGGAACTCTTGCGGCGGTACCACGGTCCGATGCACCGGCATCCGCAGCAACAGCAACAACAGGCGAAGAGGAAGCGACTGGGGAAGTAGGAGTGGGGATAGGGGCAGGAGAATCCCAAGCAGAGCTTGATGTTGACCAAGTGCGCTGTCCAGTTTGCCAGGAGGATTTTGAACAAGGTCAAGACTTGCGTGTGCTGCCTTGCCGCCATAGTTTCCACCCGGACTGTATCGACCCATGGCTCCTAAACGTAGCAGGCTCGTGTCCATTGTGGTGAGTATTTATTCACTAATTCTCCCAAAGAATCTTCCCTCCCCCCAGCTAACCCATCCCGCGCACAACAGCCGCATAGATCTCCGCCCGGATGACCAACGCCAGAGCTTCGAAACTCCCCCACCAGAACCAGACTCCCCACCCCATAACCGGCATTCCCAAGGCTCCAGATCCACCCGCCACATTGACAACGCACGACAAGGACAAACAGGAGAAGAACGCGTGGAAGCCCTCCGCCAGCTCCGTGAGGAGAGCGGGGCCAACGGAGGTAGGCACCGAGGTCTTACCCCGGAGCTTGGTCTAAGCCGGCTAAGACACTTCCTGGGAAGACGCATGGTGTCAAATCGTGGATCTACTATGGAGGGAGATGCTCTTGCTAGGGGTGGTGATTCGCCGCCTGGAGTCCCGGCTTCGGCTACGATTCCGCCCGAAGGCGGCGCAGCAGCCGCGGGTGATACGAGTAATCCGAGTGATGTGGGCGTGAGTGAGAGGAGGAATTAGTGATCTTGTCTTGCACAAGTGCATTGCATCGCGTCACATTCGGATTGGCCCTGTACCAGCCATGCGATGGCTATTTTTAACCTGCACTTGATGATATATCTACACAACAAACGTCCTCCGTTGCTTCCTTTCTCTTCGTTTCTTCCAAGGCTCTCTCCCTGCTTTCTCTCTAAATAACACCTTTTCTCATTTGTCACTGTCGGCGCAAAAATTCGGATTGGTATGGTATTTGCTTTCATTTTTCTTCTTTCTTCGCTCACATATCCATTCATTATTGTACAGCCCCCATCCCGATACATCCCCACCCCTCCCAGCACTGTAATTTCCTCCTCCCTCCTTTCTTTGTATTATAACACCCGCATCTTCCTTTTTTGGTTTTGCCTTCTTGTCTGGTTTGGTTCGGTCTGGTATGGTCTGCATGGGTCCACGGGTTTTGTCAGGTTTAGGGTTATAACATTAGTGAGGTTTTTTTTTTTGTTACCCGGGATTTTTTAGTTCACCTCATTTTATTTTTAACGATAAACTATCTTACAATACAATGGGCTATTTATTTCATTTTTATCTCATCTCCGATATCGCGATACGGACCTTCCTGATGGGCAGAGAGTAGGGCACCATGTCATGCGCTGGCAACCCGAGATTCTGAAGATTTGGGGGGGGGATGGATTGGAGGTGTTTCAAGCTAGCCAGTGAAGGGTCACGGTAGTTGGAGGCACTGTCGGAAGTGTAGGTATGTACAAGTACGGTACAGTACGTGTCATTATGTTGTCAGTTTTTTTAGTTCCAGTCCCACTGGCATGGAGCACGAGTACTGTATGCAACGGTTGGATTTCTCAGGCGGGGGTCGGACTTGAAATTATCATATCATACCTACTATAAATTACCGGGATGGAGGTACTATATACAAGTGCCTGGCATGAACGGACCGAACACCAGAGGGTCCTTGGAGCGAAAATTCCATCGCCAAGGACACTAATTCCCCCCTGTAAATAGCGAAAGTAGCTAGTATAAAAATAAGCAAAATGGATATTCTTTACGTGATATATATATCATGGATTAAAGATATTAAAAATAATGATAAATACAAAAGATTAAAAATTATTTAAAGTTTACCAGCGAGTATGGCCTCCTGAAGTAGCGATAATAGCTTGTATTCTTTCCGGCATTGAATCAACATGGTTAAAAGATGTACCTCTGAGATTGAATTCCACTTTTCCTGTATTGCTTCTCCCATTTGCTCTAACCCTTGTGGCTGTGGATGCTGCTTGTTTAATTTATCCTTCAGGATAAATCAAATATTCTTGATTGGGTTAAGGTCCAGGGAAGAGGGAGGCCAGTCAAGCTTTGGAATGCCATACCGTTCCTGAACCTGCTGGGTATGATATACTCAGTGAGCTGAAGCTGTTAGGAGTACCACAATCCGATATCCAGGAACCACCTTAAGTAGAGTAACCCCACTTAAAATCAGAATCTCTGGTCTCCAACATCCTCCTCTGGCCCCTTTATGGGACCCACACATTGTTATACATATCAATCTTAGTTGCATCCTGTGACTATAATGCTACAGAATTGAAGATGTCAGAATAATACTGAATACATCACTGCTCTCTGTCCGACCAAATCCTGTTCGCAAGATATATGAGGTGAGACATTTGGCTTGGTCTGGGATGTAGAATGGAGTAAATCCGTCAACTACTTGGAGAGTTACTAGGCCTCAAAGATAATATATCTTTTGTATAGCCATAAGTAACAGGATGTTTTCACACAGAGACATGATATTGAATGTTAAAGAATCTCTACGAAGAGCCAATATATTCTTATCTACTCTACGATAAGTAGCAGTATCTAGAACTGTGAGGAACACTATCAAAGAAGCCAATGGACTTCATAGAGTATCACAACTAGATCCAGGAATGTGTTATAGCTGCAGGAATTATCCCCAATACCAAATAACGATGAAAGTCCTGTTACCTAGAGCAACCAGGAGTTGCCAACTAAGGGATTATCTACCAATCTGGTAGAATAGCTTTTTGTGAATTAGTAGGAAGTTATTCAGAGAATATCAATCCATTCAATTAGGAGTTATAGAAGATTAAAGTCAATAACCTAGAAAGATTGCACTTACCACTACTCCTGCTAGCACAACTCATAAATGAAACTAATCATTTTATCAATAGGGGAGACAATTGGAAACAACTCAGTTCAATTTGAAAACTAGGCTATTAGTCTAATAACTCTAAAAGTCAGATAATTACTATAGGAAATAGTACAGTTCCCAATTGGCAAAATAGTAATTATCAAGGGAAATGCAATGGTTTTCAGGGTCTCCTAGTGTTCGCACTTTAGGAGAATACCCGATATTGCAAGTTACAGTTAAAGAGGTACATAAATTTGTATGAGATAGAGATAGATGTAGTCTGCAAACACTCAGACAGGGAATATAAATATTGAAGTGCCTCTTGAGCTTTTAGACATCATCAAGCAAGGGAGCAAACACCTTAACAATATATTATTGTCCTTACAATTCTATTCTACTTTACCTTATTTTACTCTTAGTAGTCATACACAAAATGAATAACCCCTTGAGCCTTACTAGACAAATCTCTATCTACAGAAACAAATCTTGATTGGTTTAGATTCTGAGTCTATACAGATCGTCTCCACCTAACAGAAGCACCATCCTCCAATAAGCCAGAGAGGTTGAATAGCATACTGATTTTCTTACTCACAAAATGGCAGTAGTACTGTGATAAGAACATTGTCAACATAGCATTTAGACATTATAGTAACCAGTTCTTATTCCAAAGAACTGCATCACATTTTTTTCCTCCCAGGATACCATCCCAGAACATGATGCTATTTTGTTTTTGAAACTTGAGGAGGTGACAATTGTCATTATACTTCTTTCCAGGATACCAGGTTAGCCAAATACGACTTGTATGACCTGACAGCTAAACATAATACTTATCAGTCCAGATGACCCAGCACCAGTCCTTCTTAGTCCACACCTGATAGGCTATCGCGAAGAATAACCAGAGTCTTCACTTCTACTCATCTAAGAAGGAGTTTTTGTGTGCTACTTTCTGGCAGTATCCCTCCATCTGGAAAGCTTTTTGGAGAGCTCTTTTACTGGCTTGAACTCTACGAGCCACTGCGACATTAACAAGTCACATTCTTCAATAAGTAGCTGTTAGGCTGAGAAAACCTAATAGACTTCAGAGTTGTCAGAGCTAACCAGGATTCATTTCTGTAGACGGAGATCATCTAGGAAGACTCAAATTCACTTGTTTTATTTACGACTGCTAAGAGCAAAGTAAAATCGGTAAAGTGAAACAGAATCGTCAGAACAATATTATATTGCTAAGGTCTCTTCTCTGTTGCCTGATAATATCTAAAGCTTGAGAGGTACTTCGATATTTATATTTTACATCTGTGTGTTCGCAGACTACATCTATTTATTATACAACTTATGTACCTCTCTGATTATAACTTGTAATGTTGGATATTCTTAAAAGGTGCAAATACCTGAAGAGCCTGGAAATCACCACACTCTCTTCAGTAATTACAATATAACTAGCTAGGAACTATACTGTTCCCAATAGTAGTTATCCAATCATTAGAGTCTTTAAACTTATGGCCTAGTTCTCAAGTCAAACTGAGTTGGCCCCAATTGTCTCCATCATTGATGAAATTATTAGTTTCATTTGTGGGTTGCATCCATGAAGGTTGTTGTAATCACAACCTTTCCAGATTGCCTAACTTCAAACCTTCATAACTCCTTACTCAACCAATTGATATCTTCTGAAAGACTTCCTACTAACTCAGAGGAAGCTATTCTACTGAGTTGATAAATAATCCCTCTGTTGGCAACCCTTGGTTGCTCTGGGCAACAGAGTTTCAATCACTGTTGTAGTATTGGAGGTAATTCCCGCAGCTACAACATATTCTGAAACCTTATTGTAACACTCTGTAAAGTCTATTGGCTTCTATGGTAGTATCTCTTAGAGTTCTAAACTCTACTGGTTATTGTAGGGTAGATATGAATGTATTGGTCTCTTGTCAAGATCTTTTATCATTTGATACTGTCTTTTTGTGCGAAATCGTCTCATTACCTACAGTTTATGACAAAGATATTTCATCTTTGAATCCTAGTAACTCTCTGAGTAGTTGACGGATTTACTCCGTTCCACATCTCAGACTTAGCCAAATGTTCCCTCTTAGATATCCTATGAACAAGATCTAGTCGGATGGATAGCGGCGATGTATAAGGTGTTATTCTAATACTTTCAATTCTGTAGCATTATAGTCACACGATATAATTAAGATTGATATGTATAATAATGTGCGGGCCCCATTAGGGGGCCGGAGGAGAGTGTTAGAGACTATGGATTCTGATCCCGAGAAAGATTACCCTACTTAGTATGGTTTCTAGGTATCAGATCCCGGTATTCCTAACAGCAGCACTCGTAGTAGCAGTTGCTACTGGTCAGTGACAGGTGAGAGTGTCAAGGGAATATTGAGGTCCCTTGAGCTTCTTTGAGATGGAGGGGACTTGACAAATGTCATATACTGTGCTAACACTAAGGTTCTGGTCTTTGGCATTCTGTTAGTATATCCAACCTGTTGAAAATTGCAATACTTTGACTGCTCATTGCTGCTTATAGGATGCTATTAGGAATACTAGGATCTGATATCTAGGAACTACTCTGAGTAGGATAACCCCACTTGGAATTGGAATCTCTGGTCTCCAACACCCCTCTCTGGCCTCCTTACGGGGCTTACACGTTATCATATATATTGATCTTAGTTGCGTCTGGTGACTATAATACCACCGAATTGAAAGTGTAAGAGTAATACTGTATAAGTGACTGTCATCTATCTGACCGGATCTTGTTCGCAGGATATATAATAGGTGATCCTTGGCTAGGTCTGGAAAGTAGAACGGAATATATCTGTCAACTACTCAGAGAGTTACTAGGCTTTAAAGATGTGACATCTTTGGCATAGGCTGTAGGTAATAGGATGTTATTGCATGAAGATATGGTATTGAATGGTAAAGGATTTCAATGAGAAGCCAATACATTTGCACCCACCCTACAATAATCAGAAGTGTCTAGAACTCTGAGAAACACTATCACAGGAGTCAATGGGCTTTACAGAGTATTATAACTGGGTCCAGAAATGCACTGTAATTGTGGGGATAATTCCCAATACTAGAATAGCAATTGAAACTCTGTTATCCAGAGCAAGCAAGAGTTGCCAACTGAGGAATTATCTGTCAATCCGGTAGAATAGCTTCCTGTAAGTTAGTAGAAAGTTCTCTAGATGATATCTGTCTATTGGATATAGAGTTATGGAGATTTGAAGTCAGGCGACCTAGGAAGGTTGCAATTACGACTACTTTCACAGATACAACCTGCAGATGAAACTGATCATTTCATCAATGATGGAGACAATTGGTACCAACACAGTTTAACTTGAGAACTAGACCATAAGTCTAAAGATTCTGATGATCGGATAATTACTATTGGGAACAGCATGGTTCCTAGTTAGCTATATCGTAGTTACCAAAGAGGGTATGGTAATTTTCAGAGTCTCCAGGTGTTCGCACCTTTGAAGAATACCTGACATTGTGAGTTATAATTAAAGAAATATATAATTGTATAATAGATAGATGTAGTCTACGAACACTCAGACACAAAATATAAATATTGAAGTGCCTCCTAAACTTCTAGACATGATATACTAATTTAGTTGGTGTGATATATGCATTGATTTCTAAGTTCAGGTGTTCAACTCCCACTAAGGTCAAACATATTTTAGTAATTTATATACTTAATACTTTAACACAAGGAGTACCTCTAAGCTGATGAAAGATCATCAAGCAATGGAGAAGAAACCTTAACAATATAATGTTGTCTTTATGATTCTATTTTACTTTACCTACTTTACCTACTTTACTTCGCTCTTAGTAGTTATAAATGAAACGAGTGTAATCCAAGCCTTCCTAGACAATTTCTGTCTACAGAAATGAATCTTGGTTGGCCTAGACAACTCTGAAGTCTATCAGGTTGTCTCCACCTAGCAGATACCCATTCATGCTTTGAGGCTTCTATTGTTCTGAATATTAATGTAATTAATAGCTTATAATTCTCTTGGATTGGAATTGATTACTTACTTGCAATATTGTCTTCAGTTTAGTAGTTTGTATGTGTATGTTCATGATATTTCACAGTTTTGATACTTTATTCTTATATGTGGTGGACTATATTCCCTTTTTCATTACCTTTACCCCTTTTTACTTATTTTTATACTAACTACTTTCGCTATTTACAGGGGGGATTTCATGTCCTTGGCAATGGACTTTCCCGCTCCAAGGACCCCCTGGTATTCGGTCCGTTCATGCCAGGGACCCGCAGCAGGGCAGGTGAATAAGCAAGAGGTGATTTCCCATGACGGGGATCATCGGTGACTACGAGTGATACTCCAAGATGGTAGGTAAGGCAACGTGTGCCTGACCGGGCTTGAATTCAAGATTTTGGGTTGGCACTCTAAACTATCATATCCGGCTAAGTTGGCGGCTGAAACGGAGGAAAAACGTGAGCTGCGGTGCATGCAGTGAGTGAGAAACTTGAGTACCGCCGTATGAATATGATATACAGCATGATGATTGGACGCATGCTCTGGTAGTTTGAGAATTCCCTACGAGTACTTGGAAAAAAAAAAAAAAAAGTGGCGAAACATGGCAAATGGCGAAGACATTGAGATACAAGTCTAAAGTTAATTTACTTGAAGGTGGCGTGCCATTGGTTGGTAATTGATCAAATTATTTATTACGGTACTCGACAGCAAATCCGCGAAACACGCTCGTATGATACTGGCCAAACTACCATACTGTATTCGAGTACATACCCCCCCCCCCACCTTTCCTGTGAAACATACAATCGCAGAACGTTCACTTATACAAACCCGATAACTTCAACCCAGCTATATATAAAAATAAAAAAAACGCCCACGGAATTTCTTCTCCACGAATCAAGAGGCTTAGCGGCGACCACCACGGGGTTGCGTTCCAGCTCAACATAAATCTCCCCCATTCATATGCAACTAAGCCTATCAATTGTACAAGTACTCGTAAGGGAAGGATTTTCCGCTTGCCGGAAAGGGGTACTGTAGGAGTACTGTGGTGGTGGTTTGACCAATCGCTGATTAGCCCCCCCCCCCTACCCGAGTTAAGGTCGCTCTCTTGCACCCCCACCTGCTGGCGTGGTAACTGGAGGTTCAAGCACTGTGAGAAGGGCGGGGAAGGTCGCTGGCGCCTATTGCGTCTATTTAGCCGATGGCGAGTTCTTCATGTTAACCCCCATTCACAAATTGCGCACCTCCACCCCCATAACCCACCAATCCATGTTGATCCTGCCCTCCGGTCATTGATCCCCACACAACCGGATCCAACCCATCATACGTGTACCCACCTGCCCCCACTTCTCTAAACAAGGCACAACTAGGTACTGTGCTCGTATGGCACATCCCCTACCGCTCCCGATCGCGCGGTCCCTCCACCGAGGACCACAATCTGCACCCCAACTGCACATCTCGTCCCGGGGGGCCTTAAGGGACCTCCGGTCGTTTGATTTGGCATGCCAGATAAGGACTTTTGTGAGTGGGTTAGGTATGCATCCGCTTTGAGGGAAGGGGAGGGGGGCGATTAGTGGCTTCTATGTTTGTACAGTTGGCGCCATGGGGTAGGCCTAAGTTGTTTAGGTGAGGACACCTAAGGTCACAATTCCGATACAAAGTGTCCGGCTTCAATTCGGCGGAGCGAGTATATAATATGCTTTTTCGCCCGGTTATCCCGGACACCGTATGGAAGTGGGGGGTTATCTGGCTTCTGATATTATACTCCTTCGCTGTCTTATTTGCCACTCTTCCCTATCATTGCTACCCCCGGCGGTCCGTAAGTTTATTCTCGAACTTCAAGGTTTTCTATCACGACAACCTCTCACTAGAATTATGAGCTCGTTTCTAAATGATCCCCTGAAGGGTCTCCGAGAGATCTTCTTCTCAACTCTGAGAGTCGTCACCTGCGGTCCAATATTGATAAGAGACCTAGTAAGCCCCCCCCCTCTCCCCCCACTTTCTCTCCCCAGCCCCACTAAAAATTCAGGTCAAAGCAGCAGACCCTGTCCTAGGGCCCGCCAGCAAGGGCTCCCGCGCCCTCATCCCGCTGTCCCTAACAATCTCCGCCCTCTGCGTACTAGCCGCGGAAAACAAGATGGACGAGCTGGCGAAGCAAATATGTTCCGTGGCGCTCGGCTCAGCTGGCGCCGCGATCGGTAGCGCGATCGGTATACTCGGTGGCCCCGTCGGCATGGTCGTTGGTGCGGCGCTGGGGGGGATAGCGGGCGGGCTACTGGGAGACTTTGGGTACGCTAAGTTTAAGCAGTGGCTATTTACCGAGGGGGAGGATGGAGTTAGGCCCATTGATAGGATTGCAGACAAGTTGAGGGCCGCGACGGATACGCTCAGGGTTGTGGCGGAGATTTCGTCTATAATTATGCATGGGCAGACAGAGGTGTTTAAGGCGCTTTTGGAGAAGTGGCGGAGGATGGGGGGGCTGGAGGGCGGTCGGGGGTGAGCGCTCCTTCTCACATATACTTGTTCTCTAGGGTCAGGCGGTTTGGATGAGTTGTGTTGACGCTGTGCAGGTTCGGGGGTATTCAATGAAGCTGTCGGAGGAAGCAAGTTATATTAAGAAATTGGAAGGAAGAGATGAGGTGGGACGAACCAGAGATTTGATGGCACAACACTTATTTTCTCTTTGACCCGGCTTCTGTGATAAACCTGGGCGTACACTTTGTCTTATCTCCCTACTTCATGTTTTTTTCTGTCAATAGCACTTCGGGACACAGTATCTTGACTTAGAAGTCCCAATATATGATTGCAAAATAAAGGAGTGATGTCGGTGAGAAGATGGACATGAGCGATAAGCCATGATAAGTACCGGTAATCCACTAAAGACCACAGCCATGCCTCCAACAGCACATCTCGTCCCGGGAGTCCCTATAAGACCTCCTGTTGTTCGATAGACATGCTTTACTTGCCAGTCCAGGAAGTGTTGATTGTGCCTGAGCCCCCGAGTGCAAACCGCAACCCTGCCCAAAGTTGGACAACACCCAGTATGATACGAGGAACACAACCACAGTACGGCCTGTTATAGTGTCACTTGGTCCTGGCGCTGCGAGCACAGTACTGACACGCACAGAATGTGGGCGCCACAAGCAAACCCCGACCAACCAGACTGCAAAGACTTGCCAATTCTCGCAGCGCCGTAAACGGACTGCATCCCAAAGGGATCTCTTACCGGTATGAGCTTACCGTATATTTTTCCGTAATTAGAAAAGAAAAAAACAATGAAGCACAAACTGCACCTTTTGGTGGGTAGTTGGGAGTTGCTTGGGTATAGGGACAACTTAAACTTTCTGACTCGGCCAATGAAGACTTTCATGACTAGGTTACCATAGGCATGTATCCGCTTTTTGAAAGGAGAGGGGACGATCGGCGGCCCCCGCAGTGTTTGTGTAGTTGGTGCTATGGTGGTAGGCCTAAATCTCTTAGGTGAGGGGAGTCGTATATAATATGCTCTGTCGTCCAGAGCTGCACTGGACACTAGACGAAAGTGGGCAGCTACCTGGTTTCTGGTACAATACTCCATTGCCGTACTATCTTATTTGCCGTTTCCCCCATCAATACTACCCCAACAGAGTCCCTAAGTTAGCTCCCGAACCCCAAAGTTTCCTACCACAACCATATCTCGCAACACCATGGCCTCACTCGCCGTAAGAACCGCCAGCAGAAGCCCCAATGCCCTCCTCCCACGAAACCCGGCGGTGTCCATCCTCCGCGTACTAGCCGCAGAGAACAAGATCGATGAGCTAGCAAACCAAATTTGCTGCATGGCGCTCGGAACAACCGGCGCTGCTATCGGTGGCGCGATCGGTGGACTTGGTGGCCCCATCGGCATGGTAGTTGGTGCGGCGTTAGGAGGGATAGTGGGTGGGATTCTTGGAGACCTTGGGTACGCTGAGTTTAAGCAGTGGCTATTCACCGAGGGGGAGGATAGATTCAGGCCCATTGATAGGGTTGCGGGTAAGTTAAGGGCCGCGACGGATATTCTCAGGGCTGCGGCGGAAGTTGAAGCCGTGATTGCGTCTGGGCGGAGGGAGGTGTTTAGTGCGAATAGGCGGGGGTAAGTATTCCTCTTTATATATAATATTATCATACTTATTTTCTGGGGCTGGGCAGTTTGGATGTGCTGTGCTGACGCTGTACGGGTTTAGGGGTATTTAGCGAGGTTGTTAGGGGAATTAATAAGTTATTAAGGAATTGGAGAGAGGAGGTGATGAGGGAATAAATCAGAGGCTTGGTGGTGTAATTTTTCCTTTTTCTTCTTTTTGATCTGGCCTTTGTGATGAAGTGGGACATGCACGTTGTCCTATCTCCACCCTCCATGTATTCTTTTTTCTTTGTCAATGGCAATTCAGAGTGCCGTTGCTAGGCCCAGAAGTCCCAATAGAAAGATTGCAAAAAAGGAGGCGTGATGTTGGTGAAAAAATGGGCAAGAGTGATAAACCATGATAATCACTGGAGACGGACCATAACCCAAAGGAATCTCACCGGTATAAGCTTACCGTATTTTGCGGTATCATGGTTAGAGGCAGCTGAAAAGAAAAAGAAAAAGCACAAATTCCGCCTTTTAATAGCAATTGGGGGTAGCGTTCGCTTGGGTTTAAGGGCAGTCCACACTTTCTGGCTCGGCCAATAAGGGCTTTCGTAAATAGGTTACCGTAGGCATGCATCCGCTTTCGGAAAGGAGAGGGTAATAGGCGACCCCGCAGTACTTGTGCATTGGCGCTATGGTGGCAGGCCTAGGTTTTTTAGGTGAGAGGGGGGTGTATATAATATGCTGTCGCTCGGGGGTTGAACTGGGCACTGAATGGAAGCAGGAGATTATCTGGTTTCCGATATGATACTACACCTTACTATCTGATTTGCCACCCCCCCCCATCGTTGCTACCCCCGACAGAGTCCCTAAGTTAGCTCTCAAACTCCGGGGTTTCCCACCACAATCATATACCGCCAGCGCCATGATCTCATTCATAAAAGGCCTGAAAAACTGCCTCTCAAAGAGCCTCCAAGAATTCCGAGCCCTCTTCCAGACAGCCCCAGTGAAACCCCCCCAGACACAAAAGCTGTTACCCACAGCTTGATTCCGATAAGAAGTGTAGCAAGTCCCCCCCGCTAACAATTTAGGTCGAAACATCGAACCCCACCCTAAGAGCCGCCAGCAGGGGCCCCCATGCCCTCCTCCCACGAAATCCTGCGATGTCCGCCCTCCACGTACTAACAGCAGAGAACAAGCTTGACGAGTTGGCAAACCAAATCTGCTGCATGGCGCTCGGAACAACCGGTCCCGTAATTGGTAGCACGATTGGTAGACTCGGCGGTCTAGTCGGCATGATGGTGCGGCGCTGGGGGGGATGGTGGGTGGGATGCTTGGAGACCTTGGGTACGCTGAGTTTAAGCAGTGGGGGAGGATGGAGTCAGGCCCATTGATAGGATTGCGGGTAGGTTAAGGACCGGGACGGATACTCTCAGGGCTAGGGCTGTAGCAGAGGTTGAGGCCGTGATTGCGTCTGGGCAGAGGGAGGTGTTCAGTGCGCCTTTGAGGAATGGGCGGAGGTTGGGGAGCGCTCGGGGGTAAGTGTTCCTTTTTATAAATATGATACTCGCCTTCTCGGGTTGGGTGGTTCGGACGTGCCGTGCCGGCGCTGTGCAGGTCCAGGGGTATTCAGTGAGACTGCCGGGGGAACCCATATTAAGCTTAAGGGATTTGAGGGAGGTGATGGGGAACAAACCTGAGGTTGGGTGTAATATTTTCTCTCCTTCTTTTTGATCTGGCCTTTGTAATGGAGTAGGATGTGTCCTATCTTCCCCCTCCATGTATCATATTCTTTTCTCTTTTTCAATGGCAATTTGGGACGCCGTTGCTAGGCTTAGAAGTCACAATATATGATTGGGTGCGATGTTGGCGAGAAAATGGACAAGAGCAATGCTCGGGTAAGCCTCAGTAATTACCCGGCCATCCAATACCCCACTATCATACCAAGAGATGTCCACCCCACCATCCATCCACCCATCACAACTTCACCAATTCACCTACCAAAAAAGACACCACCGCCATAGCACCAACACCCCAACATCAATATCAACAAAAAAATAACAATGTCTTTAAAACCCCTCGCCTCAGAAATCACCACTCTAAAATCCTTAATCAACCAAACCCGCCCCCTCCTCCCCACCCCTGTTCCTCCCTCCACCACTGCCACCGCCTCCACTACCCCAACAATCGCACCATACCCCCTCCTAAAAGATCTCTCAACCCTCCTCCGTGCGCACAGCACAAACCTCTCCATCGCTCTCCGTCCTCCAAACTTTCTATATCCCGCAGCCTCAAAAAGCGTACAGGAAATCACCAATATAATCCCCCAATACCTCCCAGCAATCCAAGCCCTACCCAAAATCCCATCATTACGCCGTTGGGTAATCCAAAGGGTCGAAGATCTCTTTACCTCCATAACCCACTCCTTCAACGAAGACGAAGCAAGCAGGAACCGACTCTCCAGCACGGGCGCAATCTGGTCATCCTGCGATGCACTGATCGCGCTAGAAGTGCTGGGAACGCACGGCGTTGTTGCAGAATTGGTGCGGAGCTATGAAGCGCTTATTTCGGATGCTGCGGGGGAGCTACGGGTTTGGGTTATGGAGGTTTGTGAGGGTGAGGATGAGGGTTTTGTTGATGATACGGCGAGGGAGGAGCCCTGGGAAACGCTGGTTGTGGTGGGGGAGAGGAGGGTGGGTGGGGTTATGGTAAAGGGTTTGGTTGAGGTTGCTTTAAAGAAGGTTAGGCTTTTGGAGATCTTGCTGGGGGCTGTGAGGAAGAGGAGGTTGGCGGGTGATGGGTTGGCTGCCGAGGGAGCGCTCGAGGAGGTTGTTGAGAGGGTCAAGGGGATTAGCGAGGCTGTGGATGATGTTGGCATGGGGTTTTATGAGGATGAGGTTGGGGAGGCGGTGAGTTTTTTTTCCCCTTTCTCATACCGGGGTGGGAGAGACAGGCTAATTTGGGAAACCGCGTATAGGTCGGGGCACAAAAAAGGTTCCAGGAGGAGGCGGTAAAGTTGATTGACCTGGTGGCTCGTAAAGATGGAAGTGTGGAGGATAAGTACACAAAGTGGTTTCATAGTTGTCGTGAGGCGCTATTGAAAGAGGGTTGAGTGTAATGAACAGCATTGCAGCCCGGACGGGGAGTCATGGGCAAAGATTCGTAATGGGCAGGATATTGGAAAATGACTACCGATATGATAATAGTAACGCTCGCAATATATCTAGAGAGCATGATTTACCCACCGTATAACACAATATAAAAATAAAAGCCATACAACACCATATACTCCTTATGATTCCCTCTTCCAAGTACAAAAAAAAAAACTGCAATCGTAATACCACAACTTTTATCTATATATTTTGCTTCTCCCAAATAACAACTCCTATAAAACCTCAACAATAGCATCATCATCCTCATCCTCATCCCCTTCCACCTCCTTAACCTTCTCCTCCGGTCCCTCATCCCTCATAAGTACCTGCACAATCCTATCGCACACTTCTTCAACGCTCTCGTCCTCAACAAGTCTATGCACCTCTCTAACAATGCAATAGACATTCACCCCGCGCAGATACTCCCTTGCTTCACGAGTGGTGGTGAGCAGGAGTATAGTCTCTAGATGCGTGACGATGATATCCTTATCTGACTCGCGCTCCTTGTCGGGGGGAAGGAGTTGGACTTCAGATGGCATTTCGAGCATTTCCTGTCACTCGTCAGCAGGCGCCAGGAAATGGGACGGCAATAGGCAGGAGGTGTAGGTACATCTTCAGGATACTCCTCCGGCCCCATGATCGGTAGCAAGATGTATGGCAGTATGTTAATCCCGTCCTCTGCAAGGAAATTTTTGTGCGACGGTATGTTGAAACATGAATTCCTACAGCATCGTCATCGTCACCGTTAGCCCCTCTCCACCCCACGCATACAAGGTCCGCCAGGAAAGATAGAAAAAAAAAGAAGAAAACCCACTTGATAGCGCTAGCAACCCCCTTCCTCCTTACCAAACTCCCACACTCGGTGAAGACAATAACCTTCGAAATGGGAACAACCCCGTCATACTCCCTCCTCCTGACAAAGTACTCCCGCCCCTTCCCCAAGCGACTAACGTCTGCGAAGAAGTAGCTCAAAAAGTCAAAGCACGCCTGCTCATTCAGCTTCTTATCCGCACCCCGGACGAACAGATCCAAGAGTTGATCCATAGCGTTATCGCTCGCGCTGACCTCCTTCGCCAGGAGCGGGCGCGTAAGCGTTATGAGGGACTGGATGGAATCGGACTTGGCCAGGTTAGCCAGGAGCATGGAGGCCAGGTCCGCGTTCGGGTTGGAAAGATTGGTGATCTGCGAAAGCAGGGTTTCTAGGAAGGGCGTGTCTGTCGCTAGGGATGTCAGGATTGGGGGGTCCGAGGAGAGGTTTATGAGGATTTTGAGGGCATTTTTGGCGCGGGGCTTGTGTTGCTGTTAGTACTGGGTGGGGAGGGGGGAAAGGGGATATACGGCGATGTCATTCACGAGAACTTTCAGGTTCTTGATGGGCTTTAAGCCCTCTGGTTTGAATATTGAGTTTTGCGGACCTTGGCTGTAGCCGACTAGGTGCTCCAATGCTATCTGTCGAATCTCCGGCCGTGGAGATCCCAGGAAGCCCACCAGTTCTTCCTACGATTCCGTTAGCTGAGGGTGTGACTGTCGTCGGCGAAATGGAAATGAAATACTTACAAGTTCTGTAGGCATCGCGTAGCTACTTTTTTCGCTAATTGTTTAGCTTTGGGTATTCGATGCGCCGAAGGTAGCAAGTAGTTGTTGAATGGGAATTTCTATAGCGCAAAAAATTTTTGTGGACGCCGAGCCCCGGTGGTGGGGTTCCAGTATTATATCGTGGATTCGTCGTTGACTGTGGGTTGCTTGCTTGGTTGGTACTGTACCATACATAAGGCAAGTCAGGGCATCGCTTGCCGGAATTCGACCCGTGGCATCTGCGAACCTCGCTCTCCACATTTACTCACTCGATTTGAAACAATCCGAACCACAACTCAACTCAGCTCAACTCACGCAAAACAGAGAATATCCTCCTTTTGCTGAGGGAAAAAATAAATGATAGTAAAAGGAACAAATTATACACTTCTAGGGCCTCGCGTTTTCGCAACAAACCTCCCCCCGCCTTTCTAATGATATCATAGGTCTCTCTTTTTTTTATGCGCGACTAACGTTACTACGTACGATAACTTCCCACGCTCCCCCTAAATCCCAAGGGTGAATTCAACGCCAACATCGATATCGCGAGCCATCTTAACAACCTTTGAGAACTGAACTGCCTTCTCAGCAGCGTCTTGCAGATCCTCAAAAGAGAAGATCTTGAGACCTGACCCGTCGATCTAGAGAATCATCCCGGTCAGTAATTTCCGGGGGCCGGGAGGGTCAGAGGAGGGGACTCACCAGCCTCTGCGCTTCTTGCATGTTGGTTCCCTGAAGTCTAGCGACGATAGGGATTCTGAGGTTCATGTTCTCGACAGTAGCAATCAATCCCTTGGCAATAGCGTCGCAGCGGACGATACCACCAAAGATGTTGACAAAGATGGCAGTGACCTTAGGGTCATTAGTGATAAGCTGGAAAGCCCGCTCAATGGCCTGTGCAGTAGCTCCGCCACCACAGTCCAAGAAGTTGGCCGGCTGACCGCCGTTAAGCTTGATAATGTCCATGGTAGCCATAGCTAAACCAGCACCATTAACCAAACATCCTATATCACCGTCGAGCTTAATGAAGTTCAAGCCATGCCTACCATCCCGCCCATCAGTTCCCATACTATTCGTAAATCTCTAGAACGACAGCATACTCAGCAGCTTTGACCTCATCTGGGTCCTCCTGGGTCTTATCCCTCCACGAGAAAATTTCCTCCTGCCGGAAGTCCGCATTGTCGTCGAACCCCATTTTAGCATCCATAGCCAATACCTTATGATCATTTGTCTCACTGAGCGGATTGATCTCAATCTGCGTAGCATCCTTCTCCACAAACACCTTGTACAGATTCTTGATAGTCTGTACAGCCTCGGGAATGCACTGCTCCGAGAAACCCAGGCTGGTAGCAACCTTGGTAGCAACCTCGTCCGTGACGCCCTTGTGGATGTCGATGGGGGTGGTAACGATAGCGTCCGGGTCCTCCTTAGCTACACCTTCGATATCCATACCGCCCTGGGAAGACGAGACGATGATGGGACCCTGCGTGGCCCGGTCCATCAGGATCGCCAGGTAGAATTCTCGGCGCGCAAACTTACGCTCGCAGATGTAGACTCCTGTGCAGAGCTTCCCCCCTGGGCCGGTCTGCTTGGTGATAAGTTTCTGGCCGATCATTTGGCTGGCGAAAAATTTGGCTTCGGCGGGTCTGGATCGTACATCATCGTTAGCCATCATTGAGCCCTCATACTCTAAATATCAAGGGAAACTACGTACGAGAAAATCACGCGCACACCGCCCTTGAGTCCGTTATCGAACGTGCCTTTCCCACGACCACCGGCGAGGACCTGTGCTTTAATAACCATGTCCTCTCCACCTGTAAAAATCCCAATCACAGCATTAGCATTTCCTATCCCCCTTCGTCCAATCGCTCCAGTTTGACCCCGAAACGTACCAATGTCCTTCGCCACAGCCTCCGCCTCCTCCGCAGTCTTCGCGAACGCTCCTCCAGGAACTCCGACGCCATACTAAACCGCCCCCAACCCATCCACCCATCAATCAACAAACAAACCCACTTAACACCCCCCTCTGGGGGAGCGGTGCGGGAGAAAGAAAGAAATAATCCCATACCGACTTCAGCAAATTCGCGGCAAGGTATTCATGAATTGACAATTGTCGTTTCTGCGAAATTCCATTCTTCACCTGCGAGCTCTGCCGTATTTTCCACAATCGTCAGCTTCACCCGAAACGACCCGACCAGCCAACCGACCGGCCCAGCAACCCCCCCCTCCACACACACACAACCAAAAAAAAAACAAAGCAAAACAAACCTGAATACTCTTCAAAGCCGCCAAAAAAGGCCTACCCCCCGCAAGCCTGAGCATTTTGAGAATATCGGATGTGTATAAAACCTCTAGAAAGAAGGGAAGAGCAAAGGAGGAAAGAGAGAGAAGGAAAAACTGATAATGAAAAATAGTCGGTTGTTGGAGTCCTTCCCCTTCTCTCCGAAATTCTTAGCTTAAAGTTAAGCTAATCTGCCTTCCTTCCGTTAAGTTATACCCCACTTATCCCACCCTAAAACTAGGGGCTGCGAGTTGAGGGGGATGGGTTGTTACCCGGCTAAACTCAATCCTACGACCAATCATCCAAACAAAATACCTCTCTACAATACCGGTATCATACTCCACACTTCAAACCATCATACGGCATCTCCTCCTCCTCCACCTCAACCTTCGGCATACCCGCCGTCCACACCCACCCACCCGATGAGCACCCCTACATCCACTTTCACACCCACATCCACCTCAGAAACCCACCAAGCCCGCATCTCCCTCCACCTCTCGCACACCCGCTCGTTGGTCTCGTCCTGGCTCCCACCACCACCAACAGACCTCGCGGCAGCGCAAAAGCCCGAAGAGGAAATATTCCGTGAGGATGAGGAATTTTTCGCCCCCATACCGCCGAGGTATACCCCCCCTTCCGGAATTCGCGGAGCGAATACTAATGAAGAGGGATGGATGGACACGGCAGGCTCGGTCTCGGCGCACCAATACCGAGAGAATTCCTCAATGGGGAGAGTAGGGTCCGGACGAATGATTTGCTGAAGAAGAAGATTATGGGACGGGGTGGAGGTGGGAGGGGGGGGTCGAAGCCGATGCCTGAAGGGAGCAAGAGGAAGGAGGGTGGGGTCGTGTGGAGTGATGAGGAGGAGGAAGGGAGGTCTGCGCTTGGGAGGAAGAAGAGGGTGAAGGTTTTGCAAGAGAAGGAGAAGGAGTATTTCAATAACTCTGGCGTTACGATTGCTAGTTCTGCTACTCTTACTGCTGATACCCCTCCTCCTCTTGCTCCTCCAAAAGAGACATTCAATAAGAGATCGCCCACACCCCCAACCCGATTTGGTACATTTCTAGACGCGTACCAAGCGCAGAAGGCGAAAAAGAAGAAAAAGAAAAGGAAATCCGCCAGTACCGGGCAATCATAAGTCACGGGGACGATAGAGCGATATTATAACGCTACAACAGTACATTAGCTATAAAAAGGGGGAGGGGGCATAATTGAGATTGATATATTCTCCATTTAACTCATCAATACCTCTGGATATATCATGTCAGATCCCCCCAGGAACCCGAACGCAGGATCAGCTTATTGTAGCGGAAGTTTTTTTCTGTCGTTTGCTTTCTGTATTACCTGTTGTACAGTACATACATGTAAGTGTTTTTGCTACCGTATGAGATTGAAGCTCCCAAAACGCCAACATAAAAAATAAATGAATATCTCCTAACTCGGGAAAATCAAAAGAAAGAAGGAAAGTTAAAAAAATATATAAAAAAAATAGCATTGCCACCCCTTCCCACCCATCCCTAACGCTCCATCCCTCAACTGGAAAAAGAAAAAAAAAGAAAATCAAGGAAGAAAGCTTCAAAGATACCACCGCATGTGCAAACCCCAATCACTCGTTCTTCTCAGCCCTCCCGTGCACGTACGAGGCCAACTTCCACTCGAGAAGAAAGGCATTGCTCCACCCAGTCAGCCAGCAAATATGCTCACTATCACCTTCCCACCAGGGGTATCTTCCAGGACATCATTACAACAATAATACAGTTTTGAACCCGTTTCAAACCTTTGAGTGCGAAAACAACATGAAAAGTGTTGGAATTTTTGAATTTTTCTCCCCCACCGGCTTCGGTTGACCGGCTCGTGTTATTGAAGCCGCTTCCGTTTTCGGTCATCCGGTTCGCAATCCGACATCCCATCCCTATTGGTTTCCGCCGACAAGTTTGAATCCAGCGGGTTTAATAGGGCATGCACACTGCTAGAAGCGAGACTAGAGCGTCGGGTCGGCGGAGCAGTATGCCCTGCTTCCCGTTGTGGTGGAAATTTCGGCCCACCTCCCCCGAAGCTCCAGCCTGAATCTGAGATACCATTATTGGAGGTCGTTTCACTGAGAGGCGGGGTGGTTTGGGAAGTAAACACCGGGTTGTTCGGGGGCCTATGTTGCTGTATTTCGTAGTTTGCCAGAATTTCTCTAGTGTTATCATGCTGGAGATTGGAGCTGCGATTCGGTGACGGAGGCCATTGGTTGGAGCCAGACATGCCGCTAAATGGCGAGTTTGCCTGCCATCCGTGCAGCCGGATATCCGCAGATGTATGCCGACGAGAAAGGTGACTGGGGGGCGAGTGGAAAGACCCCAACGGATGCTGTGCAGGTGGTTGTTGGGACGGCTGCTGGGGACGCAGAGCATTCGGCGAAGAACCTCCAGCTAGCCCCACGGATCCAAAACGCCGAGGGGCATTCGATATCGGTGGTGCGGGTGCCCTAAAATAACCAGTTGGACGTAAAGGTCCGGTGATAGAAGAGCGTCGAGATTCATCCTCCATAGGGCGCTGCCGGGGCGATAATGGGGCCGAATTATCGATAGTCAAAGATGATAGGAAAGGCTGGCGCTCACGGAGCAACATCTCTTGTGGCTCTTCTAATAGTTGGGTGTGGCGCTCTATTTCTTTCTGCATCGAATTGACTTCACGGCCCGTTAGTCTCGTCTATCCCGGGGGGGGACACCATTGATTTCTTACTTTCGCGAATTATCGGGGCATCGGGAGGGAACAAATTCGTCATAAATTGCGAAAGATCAATTGTCCACTATATACGTATGAGCGACCACCACATCTAACGAAATAATCAAAGGCAGAAAACGCAAAAACAGAAGGAAAAATAAGGGAAAGTAAACAAGGATCCGATGACAAACAAAAGGGATAGAAATAAAGCGCAAGGGTTCGGGGCTCACCTGATGACATCTGGTCAATCCTTCAATAGCAGTTTGAAGGCGAATGCCTAACATAGCATTGTGATCCTCGGAGCGGGCAAGTCGGGAATTGATTTCATACAAAGACTGCTCAATGGATATAAATCGGCCATCAATTGAGTCTCCGGGCCGCTCATCCGGAGTCCCTGGAGCAGATGCAACAGTACTTTTGGGCCCAGAGAATGAATCCCGGTGAATAAGTGCGTGTCGTGACGCACGCCTTTTTATATCCCTGAGGCCAACAAGGTCCCCTCTTTTGAAGCTACCATTCCCATGCTTGAACTCCCACAAAGTAGCATCTGGCGAGCCAGTGTGAAATACATCATTGACTATATTATGTCCGTCAGCGCAGTATTACCACCTCCCAGGTAAGAAATCTTGACCTTTGTGAAATCCGTACATGTTTAGCTGCCTAACAAATGATGATATATTTGTATGTTTAAAGTATTGACTAAATTCACGCAAATGATCAGTTCCCTTCCGGGATAATGATATCATGATGTTAATACCTCAAGACTTTCGAAAATTCCCCAGTGGGCGATACCACAAAGCTCTCGTTAGATGGTGACCAAGATATTAAATGTTGGATATTTGCATCCTCGAGCATGCTAGAACACGTTAGCCAGAAACATTCCCCCTCCCCATTCATCTTGCGGACAAAGAGTAGGGTTCCGTACTTGTAGAGCTTGTGAATGAATGCCGTCTGCACCTTAGGCTGTTGAACCCCTCCGGCAGCACCCCCGAGCCCCAACCCTGACCCAGAATTTGGAGCATTCCCCATGGGCGTGTCCATAGAAGCAGACATCGACATTCCCTCAACTGAATCCATCTCAGGGCTACTGGTATTGTCAGTCTTTGGCTCGGACAAAGACTGAGCTGGCTGGCCCGGTTCACCGGAAAACGGATTCCTTGGCTCAGTGTGTTGCTGTTGTTGATCCATTGGTTTCTCGGGCAGGTTCCAGATCTGGTGGTGTTGCTGGACCGACCCCTAGCAGCAAAGGTTCCTGGTCACCAGGAAGCGCGCTCAAAAGGACCAGTAAAGGCCTTATTATAGGCTTCACAGAGAGCAATGCAATGTGGGCAAGATAAAAAAGTAAAACGGGGCCAATCGGCTATCCTAGAATTTCATGCAGCAGTGACCGAGGCTTTTCGATCCCGTCGAAGACGCGGGTACCAACAGATCGGCGAAAGAGAAAGGGTGAAAGCGGCGAAATGCTTTTTTTCCTGGGCCCGTCAGTGACAGAAGACACCTTCGATTATGGTTCTCCTCTGGAAGTCTGTTAGATCCGTCTCCCAATCCTCTCTTCCCCAAATCTCTTCTTCAATAACTCTTCCGTTGCTTCGTTGGCGGGGCAACAATAACGTGCGCAGCTACCGTGACGTGTGATGAGAATGGGTGAAGCAAAATTTCCCCCAAAAGGGTAATACGAGAAGAAGAGAAAAAAGATAAAAGACAGCCTTCTGGAACAAAAAGAGGACCTGTGTTCGCCCCCTCCCCCCGAAGTGTGCAGGGGCACTAAAAATAGTGAATCTGAGAATCAGCGACGAAAGCCACCGGAGTAAGAAAGGCAAAACAGAAACACTTGGGTCGTGGGAGTGGGAGTGGTCGCGGCTCTAGATCAATTGTGGGTTACAACCGAAGCGAAGGACGACTAGCCTCTAAAGAGTGAGTGACAGTTGACGGATTGACTACGACGGTATTAGATTGGGAGCGAATACCGGTAGGGCAGAGCGATAATTTTCTGGGTAGAGAAAGGAAAGAAAAGAAGAGGGAAAAAAAAAGAGGGACGATTGATAGACAGGTGATGGAGGGATATGAATTTTTTTTTTCTTTAATCTTTCCTTTTTTCTTTTTCCCTAAAGTAACGAAAGTCAAGTAGGGGGAGGGGACGTTCGTTGCTTATGGCAGAGAAAGACGCAGGGCGTGCACCGTTCCAAGAAAACTAATAAGCAAATACCGAGCACAGTTCAGTGAGAAAGGTATGTGGAGCCAGAAGAAAAATATACACAAGCAGAAGCAGCGGCGGCAGTACGGCGACAGGCAACGACCCACAACCGCAACTAACCAGGGACCAAAAATGCGGCGTCGGTGGCAGGAGGCAGTTAATCCAGGCAAAGTGAAAAGATTAGGATCAAACGGGTGAGACGAAAGGTGCGGAGAATAGAAAGAAAAGAAGAGAAAAAGAAAAATTGAATGGGAGGGCACAGTAAATGAGAAGTACTCGAGTAGAGGGAGATTTCTTCTTCCCGTGCCACAACCCAGAAGCGGTAGATATCGTAGATATGTATGATGTAGGCAGGGTAGGTGGAGAGAATGGCAGTAATGGTAAACCCGGGGAAATATAAAGGGAAGATGTGGAAATAGAAAAGGAAAGGAAGGAAAGGAAGAGAAGTGGAAGCGGGAGAAGATGTGAAAAGATTTTTAGAGAGGCTCACTTTTTTTTTTTCTTCTCCGGGGACAATCACCATCAACAATTGGCGGGCCGATTTCACATTTGCATCGACGGGGGAAGGAGCTCGGAAAAAGGGGAGATCTAGAGTCGAGAAGTACAGTACTTCATCGTCTAATTTCAAAAGAATAGGGCACGCATAGTTGGCGGCCTGGAAGACTCTTTCTTATGCGGGTGTGGGTGTGGGTTGGATGGGGTGGGCTTGAGTGTGTGTGTGTGAGAGAGTGCAGGTGGAAGGTATGGGGATGGATGATTGGGATGAGGATTTGGGATGGGAGCCGATGGGGATGTGGATTGATGCTCATGCTCTGTGGCTCGTACTGTAAAGGGGAAGTTTTCATGTTGATCTGGCACAGTTCAGCGCAATGGAACTCGCCTCCGTCTACCTTCGTTCCTCTCACTCACTTACTCACTTACTCACCCGCCCCCTCTGCCTCTCACTTGGCTCCTCCCTTTCTCCACGGGCACTTGTATTCTTCATACGGCAATCATACCTTATCCCTCTGCCCTATCCCCATCCTGACTCCTCCTGCTGCTTGCTCTGTGTAGCAGGTAACCTATGTACTCGTACAACACCGACACCCTCCTCTAACTGCACAATATTCCTCATCTATGATACGCCTCAATCCTTGCTCCCTGTCCTCCTTAATCACCCGGACTCGTGAATTTCCTTCCCTTCATATCCATCTCCTTCACGTACGTATGGACACACAAGATACAGCCATTCATGATACCTTATGCAGCCCCAACCCTCTGAGCCTACGACTCCCCCATACCTCTCTGACTCTCGTGAGACGAGAGAGTGCGGGTGCCACACGGAATTGGACGACCCTAACTTTCACTGCGCGTGCATGCCCCAAGAAGGGAGGTCGTTAAGTGGCGAAGGTATGAAATATGTGTCTCTGCCACCGACTTTTTGACCGCCAGCCCCCGAGGACGAAAAAGCAAGACGACTTAGGACGAACGTTGAAGTGGGTTCAAAAATTGCAGCGTTAAAGGATAAAAATAAAAGCGAAAATCAATATGTGCCTGCTTGTCAAGGTCCGTCTACTCGAGTACGCGCGCTCGTCCGAACCTTCCCGGTACTAACGAAACGGTTGTGATTTTCCGGGGGGGCACGGGGGGGAAGGGGGTTGAGAAAAAGAAATTATAGGAAGGGTTTTTTAGACCCGGGATCTCCAGAAACCCATCAGAGTTTGTGCACACAGATGATGGATGGATCCCGGCGTGTAATGAGATAATTGTAGCCCGCTCGGTTCCTGCGAAAGACTCATGATGGGCCCCTTTGAGAAAAGATATATAAAAAATAGTGATATTGGGTGTGACAAAAGTCTCCCTGCCATCTTCTAAGCGCCGTAATCCATTCAAAAGTCCTCTCCCGTGACATGATCCCTCTTCACCAATGCAAGACAAAAGGTCGGGGACGAATCTCCCCGCTGGAGCGTCGAGTGTACTCGAGTAAGGTAAGGTTCATGATCTGCGTGGTCCCTTTTGGTCGCATTGCTGCCTACTCGAGTATGCATGGTCCCCTCCTCTTCTCGAGCACTTTGCAGGTTCCAGAAGTGCAGAGCCCGAGCAGACTTCTAGGGCAATATCACGGGGAGATCGGGTGGTTAGAAACGTATCGAATAGTTCAATCAAATTTATTGTTCGAAAAGAGCATGCAGTAGCTCACCAACATTGAGCCCTAGGTGAGGTCTCGATCTGATCATCCTACTTCTTCGACTAATTTAGAGTACCGGTACCGTACTCGCACATAAATAATGGGTAATTTAAGATGTCGCAAACGGGGAAGGAGCCGTGCCCAAATCGACATCCGAGAGTGAGATTTCGAGCAGCCGGCAGCAGCAACAAGCGCGCAGCAGGCCAAAGGCAGAGTCACCGTGCGGTGGGCAAGAGGAGCAGGAGAGGAGGAGGATGGGGTACATAGTCTAAAAGTGGAAACGAAAGAAGGATAAGGGGACACTGGCAGTGACATAGGACAAGTCGGTCAATCATTATCGGCGCAAACTGTGCACTGTACCGTGTACGAGTGCACTACTGGTACAGTTGTAACCTTACCGGTACTGTATGATACTTGTCCACCATATATATAGATCAAAGAAGCTATCCGGATTATTAGCTGTGACCCATGAAGCATGATAGACTGGAGAATGCCGCGACCCCCGCATCTGCTGCCCCTCTCGCCGGGATGTACGAGTACTGTACAATTACCCATCCGGAGGACTGAACGTATGTATGTCTACCGAATCTATCACGCCGTAGGAAGACATCTTTAATAAAGGCACTCGCGTATGCCGGTAGACTAGCTACGGTGCCCGTCGTTGAACCTGTCACAGCCGCGCGCGGTCTGGCTACGGGATGAGTACTCGAGTACTCGAGTACCGGTAGACTACCACCACCCCGCCAACTGTTAGTTGCCATCTGCCCCCCCTATCACCACAACCACCACCACCACCAAGCCCCCCTCATGGCAGAAAACGCAATTTCGAAAATTTTGTCGCATATGATAAGTTATGATAGTATGTTTATTTTTTCTCTCTCCTTTTCCTCAGTCTGTCCCTTCTTCATTCCTTCTTCTTCCTCCCTTTGCCCCTTCGCTTGTCAAGTGAGGCTTGAAAAAAACAAATATATGAGGATGAAAAAAAGAAAGAAAGGAAAAAAAAATATCTTCCACGCATTGGCTCCTTCGCCTCTAAAAATTCACCTCTGAATTAGACCATCACCGGTAGCATTTGGGCATGCAAGTGACTTGTGGAATGATTGGCCTTCGAGCTGCATCTCCGATGTTCCAAGCACGAATGCAAGAAATGGGAAAAGAAAAAAAAAGAAGAAAACCTGGACTATCGATAGTCGAGGATCCCGGACAGATTTTCGCCTTCCGTCGGCCGCTAAACATGATGACCTCCGTCGCTGGGGACGCTTCAGTTGGCACCCGGTTGCAGAGCGCAAACACATTTGCAACCGTAGTCTAACTCTATGACAATCTTGGGGAATTTCCCTCAAGGGTCAAAATATCGTGGTACGAGGCACAAGTACTGTACCCAGTACTGTACCATGCTAGTATCATATCATACTTGCACTTCCAGATACAAGCATCGATCCGGTCACTTGGACTAAATCTCTCTCTTTTAATCTATAGTATCATCCCCCCCAGTACGGCGGGTTGACACCTTCGATACGGTACTGGTATTCGGTTCACGATACCCTGCCTCACGGCCCTTCTCCTTTGCGGATACATGCACTGTCTGGAGTTTGCGGAAGACTGCACCAGCGCAAAAGTAACTTTATGCTGGGACCAGTATAACCACTATCAAGCCAAGGAGAGGGGAAAAAATACGGCCCGTGATTCTCGCTTGCTCCCCTCTCCGCTGCCTTACACTATCTATCATACTGGCACTCTACCGATCATATTTGTCCTGTTTGTGCCAGGATAATCCGCTTCGCTACCGTACCGGTAACATACCCCGACATAATAACCCTGCACGACAGCTACTCGAGTACGGTACTGTACTCGTTCAGAAGGAGAGGGTGGGGGTGGGGGAGGGAAGTGAGCGGGTTAGTGAGTGAGATAAAGAGATCGACAATCTCAACGACCAATTGGTGAATACAGTGCCGATGGCACCCTCATAATCTTCTCCTTCTTCTTCCACCTCCTCCTACCGTTATTCCCAGATCCCATGCGTTTGTTGTGAAAATTGGTAGTGTATCCTAACAAAATCAGAGTAAGAAAGTAAAAAGAATAAATTAAAAGGCCTCTGTCTCCAATCGCTCCGACCTGCTATATCTGGCGTTCGCATTCAGTGTCCTCAAGTTGGAGCAAAACATTTTGAAATGTTACCAAGGCCGGTAGGCCAAGGCGTTTCCGACAGCAAAAGCAAAAAACGGCCCGCTTCCTGCGTCTGGGAAAGGAACAGGTAGCACGGTCCCGAACAAGATATCATACTCGAGTGCTCATCCCCCAGCCCCTCTCTTCCCGGCGCTGTTTTTCCTTGTTGTGGAGAATCACTGTTATTCCTGCCCTACATCTCACTTTACCTGTATTCTGCTTAACTGTGCCTCCCCCGCACCCCCCTCCTTTTCCCGGCTACCCACTCATTCTTTTTGGGATCTTGATAACATACCTATCATATTGTACCGGTACTTGTACCATAGTGGACCGAATGGCCTTACCAAATTTGATGTCTGCCACTAGATTTCTTGGTGTATTATCCGACATCCCCTCTGTACTCCCCCATGTTAACTTGTATGATATGAAAAGAAAAAAAGAAAAAAGAAAAAAAGGGGTCTCGGTCCATTTTCCCAATTTATCAATTCCTCAGATTCCCCAGGTAGATGTTCGTTCTGGCTTAGTGATATTTTACAATGACTGTCCGAAACTGGTTCCTTGGATGCCTCTTTGGGGGGCGTTTAGGATCCTTTTTTTTGATCCTCCTGAACAAATAACAAACAACCGTATTTTATCGTAACTGTAAGCACAATAATAATTCACGGTGATTCCTAACTCTTGCAACTAGGTGATCGCTAGATCGATTTCTTTATCTCGCAAAGAAAAAGAAAAAAAAAACGGTTGTAGACTATCTTGGATTACAATACCATACCATCTCGTCAAATTGAGTATTTTTGTGCAGGCCATCCTAATAAATTATTTATTCATTTTACTCTCGTACTGTGCTTTCGCATGAAATCGATGAGGTTTTCTTCTGCAGTTATGATAATTCCCATTATACTGGTACTCGTACAAGTAAAGCAACCTTTTGGTCTTGTTGAGACTTGATGCGATCCTTATCGAGGCGGTGAACTAGGCCATCAGAGTCGCTTCTTATGGTGAGGGAACTCTGTAGCCGGAACAGGCGGACATCCGTTCTAACCTAGTAATAGTATGTTAATATGCCAAGAGCAGTATTTTCTACAGGTTGATACCTTGGAAAACACCTATTAATAGTGTTTCGCGGGGACATTAATTGTAATTAACATGGCGACTGTGGATCTGACTGGTGCGTGCCAGCTGTCCCAAATATCTTCCATATCAGGGACCGGTGAGGTAGCGAGCATGACCACCTCTGCATAAAAAATACGGTATTGGAGGTAAAAGCTCTCTTAAAATAGTTATTTTATTAACCATAAACACTAGTCTTGAATTCAGGACTTAAGGTGCAGCATGGAGAGTACGACTAGGATAGGGAGGCAGTGTACTTGTAAAGTATGCTACTTGAGCAAGAAATTAAGAATGGATCAGTCAAACATACGTCGTACCTAGCATTGAGTGGGAATCGTGAATAAGGACGCCCGGGTGGAGGGCGGGGGTGGATTCCGGAATAGGGACGGGAGAGGGGGGGGTGGAGAGGGCGCGGGGGTGGGAATAAGACGGGACCAGGTTGTATTGTCTCTGGCAGGACTCGTTCGAGAGCCAAACCTGATTCCAGGATTCTCTTTATGGCCTCAAACTACCGCTTTGAGGAACTCTGGAGCATCATCCCATATCAGTCGAGTGATAGGATATGAATGCCAAGAGTAGACCATCACAGGTTGGTAATTCCTTGGCAAATATCTATTAACGGTTTTTCCGGGGGAGGTTAGCAGTGATTAACATATTCTGGTGTACCTCTAAACACTAGTATCCTAGGATACCTGTAGACTATTCCTACATTCTCTATTAACGTGTAGAGGATCATCTACTCTATCATCTGCTCGAGTAATGGAGCCGTAATTCTCATCAGAGTGGATGAAAATCCTTTGGCAGTTGAAGTTGGACAATTTTTTCTTGGGAAAACACCCTGGCTATAAGACGGGTTATCACCCCGTGGAAATGACCTCTTGAGCCCCCATTCATACATTCTCTCTTTTTCGCGGGTTATCGTGAATCACGTGACAGTTACTGCTGAAGTGGGAGTAAAGCTGATGACTAATAATATTCCTTCACTTCAGGTATATAGTGATGTCCTTGAAGTTGCATACGTGGAGGACTCAGGAAACCATTTCCCGAACCCAATCCTTCCGAGCCCAACCCCGAGAAAAATCATGTCGGACTTTGCGACTTTCCTCAGTCAGGCTCCGCCAGTGAGCAGGTATGTTAATTCCCTTCATGTTCAAGAGATCCCCCCACACTTTGGAAAGCCCCTTGATTGGGAAAAAAGAGGTTGGGTTGTGATTCCAATGTGTTCTCCGCTCCCACGCTGTGGCGGTGGTGGTGATGTGGGATATATCAAACTTATATCAAACTGATGGATCGATGGAATTTTCAGGGTCTTCGCTGGACTTACGTTTTTATTATCGCTCTCTGCTCATGTCTTGAGGCTCCGAGCCGTGCACCCGTACTACCTAACATGGTATGCGCCTATGGTGTTTAATACTACACGGCCTGAAATATGGAGGATCGTGACCTCGTTTATGATAACGAGACCTGGCATGGTATGGACTATGCCTCTCCCCTGTTGCGCAGCGAGGTATATGCTGATTGTTTTTCATGCAGTCGATTATCCTGACACCTTTCTTCCGTGAGTAGCCAATCCTGATATTACAGTCGTTTTTTAGCCATAACTAACTGCTGTCTTTTTTTTTTCCTATGATGAAGTGTATAAATACTGTAGCGAGTAAGTGGCCACCACCTTGTGAGAACCTGGCAGTGGGTCGCTGATATGTGGATTTAGCTGTGAGACAACAAAGTTCCTCAGATCCGGAGACTTATTAGTATTTGTGCTCTTCTGTGGATTTGTGATTCTAGTGAGTGACCATATCAAGCCCTACCAGCAAATATTACATGCCACCCCCCACCCCACGCACCCTAACATGACGCGCAATCGTACAACAAACACTGACCCAACCTACCAAACCCATAGCTCCTAAACACCTTCATCCTACAAGGCATGCTCCTCTGCCCTGCCATGACTGCCGCCCTGGCATACTACTGGACCGCTCTCGAGAACAAAAACAACTCGGTCAACTTCTTCATCGTCCGCTTTCCGGTAAAGTACCTCCCTTGGGTCATGATTTTTGTCACTCTAGTGGCAGAAGATGTCGGCTCAGCCCTCGTCGAAGGAACCGGCATCATAGCAGCTCACCTCTACCTCTTCCTCACAAACATCTGGCCCCGTGTCGCCGGCGGTCGACACGTAATTTACACTCCGCAGTGGGTTCACGGATTATTTGAGGAGCGCGGTGATCCGGCTACTAGGGGTATTCGCGCTGGCGTCCCGCCTTCCGTGGCTGCGGCAGGGCCTGCTGGAGGTGCGAGCGCTACTGGGAGGAGCATGTTCGCGCCGCCGGGGACTTGGACCCATAGGGGGCAGGGGCATCGGTTGGGGAGCTAGGCGGTTTCCTGAATTGGGGTTGGCGTGGTGCGATGGGATAAATTAAGTAGATAATATTAGGATAGGTGTTATGGGGATCGTTAGAAAATGTAGCTGACTTTCCCTCTTGATTTTGTTTCACATTTTTCTATATACCTCGCTGTATGTTGGTATGTCGGCATGCCGAGGTGGAAATGGGTCCTTTGTATTGCATTTTTAGGCACGAAAAAATATAAATATATAGCTATTGAATTAAATTGAATTGTGCATCATCTCTTCCACTTTCGTTACCGCATGGTATTAAACCCCAACTAGACACGAGTACCGTATTTGTCTATCTACGGTATTCCTCAGCAAGACGGGTCATGTGAAAGCATCAGGATACTGTAGTTTACCCATCCCCTCCGAGACGGTTACGAAACGCCCACCGCTACCGTACCATTATAACACAAAAAGCAGAGGAATTACATGAGATTCTGTCATCATACTTTTCTCAGTTCAGCAGGAGTACTGTACAGAACATGTTCAAGCCATCCCACCCAGATTTTTGCGCGAGTGATTTTCTGTGAGTCATATCATTCCCAGCACCTTACGGGATGTATCCGCGATGGGACACTTTATTAGGGGGAAAAAAAGGTTGTGTATCATAGATGAATGGATTATGGCTTCTAGATAGATAGATACTCATCCGTACGCCCATGGCTGATAAACAATGAGCGGATGAATGAATGAATAGATGGATAAACGAAATACTTCAGGATATTTTCTAAGTTATAACGCGCGGACGAATCATTGGTAGCTCTGTGTAGGTTGTTGGCTACCCGTTACCAAAATTCCGATCTCTCTTCAATTCCTCCATCATAAGCCTCTCGGTTTCCAAATCGTCCGTTCCGGCATAGTCTTCTTCGGATTCTCTCTTCCTCTTGAGTCCCTCCCCCCCACCTCCAGCACCGTCACAAATCCTCTGCCTTGCAAGCACCGCCTCCCTATCCCTCCTCATGCTTTCCCTCCTCGCTCCAATCTCCCTCTTCAACCTCTCATCAACCCTAACCTCAGCCTCCCACTCCCTCCTCCCAACGCTTTCCCACCACTCTTTCACAGCCCTATAGCCCTCCACGCCACTCGCGTCCAGCAGGAACCACTCCACGGGGGTCGTTGGGAAGGCGTTGATGTTCCCGTGTCCCGTGCCGCGGCCGACCTTCATCATCTTGACCGGCGGGCCGATGCGCTCGTCCCAGTGCTCATCGTCGAGGATCTCTTTCCAGCTCTGGTCGGCCAGGGTGTCATTCCAGTGTTTGTCTATTGTGAGGTTGCGCAAGGCAAGTATAGTTCCTGGGGCGGGTTGGAATTTGGATTGGTCGCGCCAGACGCTTAGAATTGTTTTGCGGCGGCGGTGGGGGAGATGTGGAGAAGTAGTAGTGGAGGTGGAAGGGGGGAGGAGTTTACTGGTGGGGTCCCAGAGGTACCAGTCTTGTTTTGTTCCGTCTCGGGATTTGTTGTCGTAGGGATGACGGCGGCAGAGGAGGACTGCGAGGAACGCTGTGGGTGTGTTAGATATGTGTGTGTAGGAGAGGAGTAAGTAAGGAGAGGAAGGGGGGGGTGGATGTACATACAAGCTCTTGTACCATGAGTTGCAGCCTCTAGTTCGCCAAATGTCATTCGTCGGTCTATCCATGAGATTGAATTATTCTGGGGAGTGCCCGGAATTGTAGGAACATGCTCGGTTGCAGAGCTAGAGGTGATATCCGGGTCTCTATTATTGGAGATCTTTTTCTGAGATAGAAATCGCGAGGGCGACAAATTTTTTGAGACTATCTCACCAATCGTCAATTTCCAATTCACTCGATTCAAAAATTCAGAATAGTTCATACCAGCCCGCTGGGACAGCGGCTTCATGGCCATTGCTGGAGGTAGCACAATCGGAGCCTTAACCTCACTATCCACCATTTCCTTCTTCACCTCCTCATCATCTGTGTTCTTCCTCTCTCTCTTCTTCTTCCCCGAAGAAAATACCTCCAGCCCACGTATCAGGAGACAACTACTCCTACCGTAGGTCACCAAGTCAGCACCCACCCATCCACTCACCCACGAAGGCAAAACATACGGCAACTCCGTCTCCTCACCCTCGAAGGTCGGCCTAACAACATTAAATCCGTTCCCAATCGGACTCCTACACCTCCGCTTATTCGGTGGCGAGGACCAAATCTCGTCCCCGCCGTCCTGATTCTCGGCCTCAGATTGTCGCGCCTGCTTGATGACCTCATAGTTTGTTAATCGCACGATGTGACCCTTGCAGAGCTTGTTGTTGGTGACGAGGTCGTGGAGGTTTTTGTCCTGGAGGAGGGCTGGGGGTAACCGAAAGATTAGCTTCTACCGAGTAGAGGGGAGGAGAGAGAGCGGGAAGGTGATACCATGCGTCCAATGGGCTGTGTCTGATAATCGCAACTTTGCTGCGGATTCAACCTTAGCCTCCACAGGCTCATCCCGGGCCTGGGTAGGAGTGGTGGTGAAGTCTTTCGATCGGTGGTTGGTGCCGTTGTAGACTATACTTGCGTTTGTGACATGCAGCACCGGCTGCGGAAATTCTGAAGACGGGTTTTTGGAATCGAGAATGTTTTTGAGGATGAGCTTGACAGCGGGAGGTTGCATTGCTGCGGCTGTGGCTGCGGGTAGTGGTGGTAGGAGTGGTGATCTACTCGAGGAGTGGAATGTGTGGGGGGAATTGGTTGGGATGTGGCAATCAAAACGCGTGAAGTGTGGTGGAATGCATTTACACGAGCAGCACAGCGCCGTAATTTACACGTGTGGCGGGGGAGGTTGTGCGGTATCATAGTAGATGTTATTGTAAACCTATCTTACAGTACTGCACAGCGCAATCGGGCTTGCCTTATCGATAAACCCCTCGACCGGATCATTAGAACATTTACACTATGCTACAAATTTGATACCCGTGTGGGGGAGGGGAAGAAGAGGAATATTAGGAACATCAATTGAGCACACCGATGTCTAAACATCAATCTCCATATCATGCTCGATCTGCGCCCTATTCTTCCTATTATTCTGTGCTTGAAACCATTTCTTCTCCCAGCCATTCCCCCGGTCGACACCATCCCACCTATGTCCCGGTAAGATCCCATACCTATTCGGCGGCGCGGCACCCTGATACAGTGGCCTCCCCGTCTTGCTAACTCCCTTCTTCTTATTGCTTAGAAATGCCATCGCAGGATCATTCCAGCGGTCCCGCTCCTTCAATTCCTCGTTGAGCTCTGTATCGTCGGCGTAACGCGCCATAGGCGCATACTTCGCGTCTTCGAGTTCCTTCTTCCTCTCAGCCTTCTGCACGAGCTGCACATCACCCTTCAAGTGCTCCTCCAACTTCCGCTGCTTGGCCTCTTCCTCTTCCAGTTTCTTCCTGGCCTCGGCGCGGGCCATAGCGACGTTGATTATTCGTCCTGAGGCATCGCGGTAGATGGTCTCTTGCCCCCTCCCGCTGGTCTCTGGGTCCTCCGCTGCGAAGCGTGCGGCTTCTGCTTTTCGCTGGCGCTCCATTTGGGCGGCTACCTGAGCGGCGGTTTGCAGGCCGGCGTGGGCGCCGCTGGACATTTTTTGTATTGTTGTGGGCCTTCCACCATCTTCTTCAACGATTGCCGGTTGGTCTTCCGGGTTCTCTGGGTTCTTTGCGGAAATTATCGCGTCGGCAGTGGCGGCGTCATCGTCGTCGCCGCCCACTATTGTCCAGTTGGATTTTGTCGTCCGGCGGAAGGCTTTTGTCATTTCGCCAACTGTAGATCAGATTAGAAAATTGGGGGATACCGACTGACCGACTGACGGAGAGTAATTACCACCCGTCAGGGTTTATATATACATAAGAATAGTCATATCAAGATCATATGTTTATTTGGGCAGTGTGCAGGATAGGGAATCATACTGGTAACTGGATCATCCTCATCCCCATCTTCCTTGTTATTATTCCAACCCAGTACATCGTCGTCCGCGATAATCACGCCGGTATCTTTGCGCTTCCGTTTCTTCGCCTTCTTCTTCGTGGAGTCGTCCTTCGTTAGGTACTTCTGTAGGTATTCCGCTCGGGACATTGCTTGTTTTGTCGAGTCTTGGTTTGTCAAGGTCGGAAGCTTGTAGATTTTCCCGAGAAAAACGAGTGTATTAGTCAGCAACAACCGTCTTGGTAACCGGCTACCTCATGTGACGGCAGGGTATGATACCTGTACTCGTAGCTGTGTCAGAAGCATAAACTATCATTTTGAATCATAGGCAGGGTTGTCACGCAGAACCATTCTAGCCCCGTCACTCGGTGCTGCGGATCTCAGTAGATCTATTAAGGGAGGAGTCACCGATTTGCCTCAGGGCCTTAAGTTAGGAGAAGAATCTACTCGTACAAACAGACAAGGCCTGAAACTTTCTCCATACGCACCCCGGTATCACGCGTTTCTGCATTCTCCTCTCTCTCTCTCTTCTTTTCTACTCCGGGTTCTACCGTGCTCGGTTTCAGTCAGGCCTTGCTCAACCCACTGCATACCACACAGTGAGCTAGCTATCGGTATCTAACGGGACGTACTATATAGTATGCCGCACTCAGATGAGGCCACAGCCTTCTTTGTAGCTGTCTATGAGGCCGTCCAGGTACTGATCTCCTTCCCCCCGCCTTTCAATCTATGATACAGTGTAATGCTCTAAAGGTCTAAACTGCACCTCTCGTTCGCAAAAAATACAGGAAATACCCTATGGAAAGGTCACTTCGTACGGCCACATCGCCCACTTAATAGGAAAGCGTAAGTTAGAGTAAAAAAGGAACCCCCCCCAAAAGAAAGCCAAGCAAGCCCCCCCCCCCGACCCCAGCATGGCTAACATCCGTCATACCTTCCAGCACAATGTCCAAGGTTAGTAGTACATACAATTATCATACGGTACCCTCCGAAACTCCCCAAACAGAACAAAGAAAAAACCTAGGGAATAGACGAACGAACAAGCCTCCCCAAACCCGGTGAAAGTATCATTCGTTCATTCATTCATGCTACAGACAAGTCGGTCAAGCCTTAAAACACCTCCCAGCGGATCCAGCGAACACGTTTCACCATGGAAACGTCCCATGGCAGAGGGTTATTGCAGCTAGTGGGGTAATTCCTAGACGGTACTTTCCCCCCCTCTATTCCCCCACAATTCTCACCTCACCTTACCGCTATCTTGCCTGACCTTACCTCACCCTGCCCCGCCTCGTCTGTCTCTCTGTTCGTTGCCCCATTATTGCCCCCAACGAAATGCTAGTACATACTGTACATATAGTACGGTAGTTCGCCCTGCCCTTTCCTGTATACTATCTGTATGTTTCTCTGTCTGCATACATATATACATCCTACAGCCAGACGGACTGTAGGAGTACGATGCAATCGACCCAAGCCCCATTTCACTCATCTCTAGCGGTTACCCACGGCCCGCCCCGGTTCTACCACACCCTTCTCGACTTTTCCCTCATTTCCCAAGGGAAACTTGACACAAACCCCAAACCCTTCCTTCCTTCTATGATATGATACATGATACGGTACTGACTGATAATAACCGCCCCCAGAGATAACCCTTCCGGCGCAGCACGTCACGCCCAAGCCCTCCGCGGCGAGGGAGTGGTCGTGACGACAACAGGGGGAGGGCTTCACGTGGACTTGAGTGGTGAGCATGGCTGGTTTCCAAATGTGCTCCCATCTAAGGGTGGTGGTGGGGATTGGGTAAACGAGGAAACAATGTTTCCAGTCCTATTTTAGTCTTCTGGGGTTTGTTTGTTGGTTGGCTGTATCGATACTACAAGTATGATACCGGGAGGGGGGGGGGGTTTAAGATATGGTATTGATTGTACTCGTACTCAGCTATCATACCGGTGTTCGTATAGTTGGTCCATCTGTGTTAGCTTAGCTACTGTACGCTTTCTGGGTTGGATCTGGGTAAAATTTTGAGGTGAGGCGGAGTTTTGGATTTGTGAGCGAGTCGTGCTGTGCTGGGGTGTCAGCGATGATGAAGAGAGAAGGTACCGGTAACGGAAAGTATGAAAACGGAAGTGAGTGAGCGATGAGTGTTCAGTGCCTGCTGAATTGATACATATTTGTTTCTCTCGTTTAGTCTAATTTGAGCGCGTGTGCCCGGAACCGCGGCCCCGATCAGCCACCTTTGGGGCTCAGCTACAACGAGAAGGGGTTGAAAAGGCTGGAGGATAAATTTACGTCACTAGGGAAGTGAATGAGGGAGAGAGAAAGAAAGGGTTCAAAAATATTCGCTCTTTCTTGCCGGAGACCACCGTATGATATAATATTCTTGTTGCAGTGGGGCAATACAATGTAATTCAGCTTCCACCAACATCCCCCCTATGTTTCTATCGGTATTGTAAGTGAGCTAAAGGATATTACCCCATCTGCCGTATCTCTAATTCTACTTGTAATCGCCATCCGAAATCCCTCTACCCTTTGCCGATAATAAATGTCCTTCTCTCCAAAATACCCCTCCCTCCTAGCCGGTCCCGCTACTCCTAATGTTGATCTAACCGGGGGAAACCGCGATCTGGTCCGGAAGAAGATAAGGTATGATTATGTGAAAGGGAAACATAGAGAGTAGCCTTTTTCCGATCGGGGGTAAGGAGTGGGGAGGACACTTCACAATAAACCCACCGGTGCTCTTCCCCCTACTTGTTTAGGCTTCTCCGGGTGTGTTCTTGGTTTATTGTATAAATGTAAAAAAAGGATGGATGTGTTGTATATGTAAGTTATGTAGGTCCAAATGCTCGGCTTGTCGGTTGCTAAACAGCGGTTGTTGTGCACGGGCGCTCCAGCTATTTCGTTGAGCCCAGCAAACCTCGTTTGTGCCTGTTATGTCTGTGCTAGTGTATCGGTACGTAAAAGCGTACTCACGTCGCAGGATTGAAGTCGCTCCCATTTTTGGTGGTAACGCGGCTTTGATCCGGCGACATGAGTACTCGAGTACGTTGTAGCCCACTTAGAGGTGGGTTGCGGTTAGCTCAGTTTTGGTGGCTGCCATAAGGCCGCTAGTACACCACATGTCGCACTTCGACTACTCATTAGACCCATGAACAGGCGTCACCAGGATGATGAGAACCCGACTCAGAGCACGAAAGCTGTAAAGCGCCCCCCCCCCCAAATCACAATCTAAGTTGGTGGGTGGGATGGGTGATGGGTTAGGAATGAATGGAAACAGAATGGCCCTGGGCCCGTTCCTTCTTGCCCCTTCCCTATTCCTCCGGATTCTCGCATGCAGCTGCTGCCGTCATCGTCTTTGAAAGCTGCTCGCACGTGTAGCTGAAGCTCTATAAAGCTCCTACCCACCCTCCAACCTTCCCCTCTCCCTCCTTTCACTCGCCTTTCTGCCATCCTATATTCTATCTTCACCAATCTGTTGTCCGTTTTTCATAGTCTGACTCATATTCACCCTAACATCACCGTAGCTCTCACCCGAAACACCAACTTTCGTTCATTGCCTCTTTCACCCTTCACCGGTCTTCACAACACTCTTTCCTGTCTTAGCCACATGCAAGCTTCCATCCAACGACCACAGCACATCTCTCCAAGATCCTAAACCTCGAACGAAATCATGGCCAGCGACCTTCCTGTCAGCGATCTTACTGCTGATCTCAGAGGCCCGGCTGTCGAACGGCAACGCGGCAAGGAGGTAAAACTATCACATTCCTCTCGTCGATCAATTCCCATGGCTGACTTTGGTTTCCGTAGCGACGTATCAAGTACCGAAATGTTAATATGGCTCTCCTTGGGCAGCCAAAAACTCTCTTTTGGCCAGATGGGACCAAACCTGCTCCCGTCTGGAACGATCGAAACAAGTAAATTTATATGCCCAAGCACAAACTGATAATTAGTACTGACGACCCATAAAGGTTCCGGATGCCTCAACAGGATTCTCGCAGTTGCCATTGCCATGGGTGCCGTAGCTGGCGTGCCAGAGAACAAAATAAGAAGAAGGCTGTTGAAAAACTCCACTGGGACGATGAAATCTGCACTGCTCGACAATACCCTCTCTCGCCATCGGCTGAAGAGAGGGAATATCTCTGGGACGATTCGTCTTCGGATAGTGGCTCCATCGAAGGTGTCGCTTATTCGTTCGACCGGCCAGGGCCCAGCACCGGAACGGATACCCTCAGTTACGCCGTAACTGAGGCCGTCAAAAAGTTCGAGAACAAGGAGTTGGCTACTTTGATAAAGAATGAGTATGAGGTCATCGACGCGAGCGATTCAGATGAGGACTTCGAGTTGGTCTAGATTGAAATGAGAGGTCCTACATCGCTGTCCCGGACGTGCAACTGGATGGAACGCATAACCGTGACAACGACTATCGGCGGTGATGATTTTGATTTCTGTAGAATTGGAGTTTTTGCCGAGTATCAGTTTTTCCTGGCTAGGTGCCTTCTTAATCCTTCTTTTATTTCTGCCCGTGGTTTGACTGCCCCTGCGAGCCTCGTACTTGTGATGAATGGAGCATGTTTATCTTCCTTCATGGCTGCTTTTTTTTTCGGTTCTGGAGTCTTTTTGGGGGGATAAGTTCCAGGGAGCGCTAGCACCTGTTGGAGATTGAGCTTCGGGTTCTCTTTCCCTTCCTTTCCTTTTCTCGATGGGATTTGATATTTTCGATGGTGTTTGTATGGTGGTTTCTGGTGCCAGTCCAGAGGAAGCTTTTTGCCATGGAGCGGGGGGCCTAATATGGATTTTTATTATTTGTGTGCTGGGCAGTTTTGTGGGAGCAGTCCTAAAACCTAGCTTGGCTTAAGCCACCATTGGAATTACTCTCCTTAGATACTATTCCTACCGCAGTAACATGGGATGGAATTAGATATAGACATTATTGACGCCTTTATGGCATTATTTCTCGAAAATTTTGATCATTTTTGAATATCTTGTAGTATCTAGCTTTTCTCTTTGGACATGGATCTCAGCCTCATCCATGAAAACGAGTTTCAACACAACTGAGGGCACGACGGTAATCTACAGTACTTGTGCTCGATGGTTTGCTAGTGAGCACGAAAGCACGGACCGACGGCCTTATCTTTCCATAGCTTCCAACTCTTGCTCTCTAATCCCGTCTCCCGGTGAAAAACCATTGTTTTACTGGGGCTCTATCTAATCGGGCCTCACCAAGCTCACTGTTCTCGTATCCTCGCATAATCAGAAGAACCACTCTCGTGGCCACATCTCCTGAAAACCCACGCAAAAAAAAACCCCTCTGAGCTGCAAATACCATCTCCCACCACCAACAACTACACAATCAAGAAAATGCGCACCCTGATCCACCTCCTATCTCTAACCTTTTCCCTAACCCTCTTGCTCTCCCACTTGACTCCCAGCACAGCATACCGAGACTCCGCCCCTAGCAAGAGCGAACAAGACGACAACTACTCACTTACCCAGGAGCTCTACCAATGGCCTATATCTGCCGAATCCCCGACACCGTTGTGCGAGCTGTGGTATCATGAGCGCTGGGAGGACGCCTCGTGCCCCTCTGTCGGTCACAAGAACTGTGCTATGACCGGCGAGTGCGGTGATGACGAGATTGTTCGTGTCGGGATTATGGACGAGGGGGGCGTGTTTAGGGGGGTTGTTACTACTGGTGTATGTGTTCTACTCTCACATAGATCACGAATGGGGAAAGGGACTAATGGGGTATGGATGGATGGATCGGGAAGAACAGAAAGCACTCAAAAATCGTGACAAAACCCTAATAAACATCCGCCGGGACCGCAACAACCCGACAAAGGTTTGGAGGGTGGAGTTTCAAATGGTTTATGATGTATCCCCCCCGCAATCTTCCCTTCTTTCGTCGTATGGTGACTAATTGAGGTGAAAATAGCTCGAAGAACGCGACGTAAGAGCAACAAACCCAACCCCGGGCCCACAACCATTCCTGAATAAACCCATTGTGTTGAACGCCGAGGGGAAGTTGCCAGAGCCGAATGTTGAGAAGACCTTCTTGCAGAAGTACCCTATCCCCCTCCGTACCTCCAAATTGCGCACTGTGAAAGAATGCTAATGGATGACCGGACAAACATTAGGTACTGGTGGGTCCTACTAGCAGGAGCCTTACTCGTCCTATCCGGGGGTGGCGGTGCGGAATAATCGTTCCCCTCTTCGCGCCAAAAACAAGGGGCAATATACCGGATGGATAGAAGGATGGTTGCACACTATACCACACAGCAATTGACGCTTTACCATTGTATTGTACTCACTTGTACGATAAACACAAACGACACGATATAATAAAAAAACAAGTTTATACCCGGGTATCGGCGCCTTGCCTATCCCGTCTTGTCATGTTTACTCCTCCCCCTTCGGGTTTACCTTATCACGAACCACCAACTCTGCCTACCGGAATCACGTCATGTGATTCCCATAGCCTAAAGACTCTAGGTTTCCCCTCGGAGATAACGTTCTCCACATAAACGGCAGCGCGGGTGTGCATCATTACACTGGTGCTGTAGTAACACGCGCAGCAGAGCATTTACTGGTACCGTACTTGGAAACGGGTAAACACGAACACAAACAAGTCAAGCACGTCATGATCCCGTCTCTACAAGTAGATATAGATGTAATCACTGATTATCACTCGATCCGTTCACAAGCTCATTCTGTTGTAAATCGGGGTGAATAGGGACAGACAGTAAAAAAGCGTACGGGCACAAGCGGTAGAGATCACTCGCTCAACCCTCCATAAGGGATAGAACAGGTCCCTTAAGTATCATTCACGAAAACCCCCTGGCAGTCGTCACACTACCAGTATGGTACGACACAGACAAACACCTTTTTGACGCAACTTGCGGCATACTAGATGATTATATCCAATGCTTTTAAACGAATGGTGTGGTACGCGGCGGAAGGAAGGAAGCGACACAACTGGAACGGATGTGCAGGGTGGAAGAGGAGGGAGGGAGGGGAAAAAAAAAGACAAGAAATTGTTGCGTACTCGGGGAGTCGAACCCCGTTCTCCCGCTTGGGAAGCGAAAATCATAACCGTTAGACCAAGTACGCATGTTATTATGAGTCGGAGTATGTTTGAATTCAATAACCCCTTTGTCAGTGCTTTATAGCACAATCTACAAGTAGCCCCACTACCGGTATACGGCTTGGACTTGGGGATGGCTTCCTCACGCGATCTTGCTATGACTTGGCGTTTGCATCCTGTAGTTTTGGCACTTCGTATGATGGTAAATTTCTCGGAGGGCGGTAAACGCACTTCCATCACACAGCAGCTGTCAACTACCGGTAGTATTGCTCTGTCGAATCGTATCGTGCTGGGTTGAATTAGTGTAGATCTTGCCTTTCTTTCTTTCTCTTCCTTCCTACTTTTTCGTCCGGATACGGTGCAGGCAATGCTAGACGTGTAGGCTGGGTTGTCACTCGTTTTTCTCGAGTACCGGTACTTGTATTTATCATGGGGGGGGGGTTTCGAATTATGCATGTATGCGTGCCGTGCCGTTCGTTTGATGGATGTTTGGTTCTTGGTTTGGTGGGGTATGGTAAGTGGAGTGGCCGGATTGGGTTTTGTTGAGCGGGCTGTTTGGGGAATGAGAGGGGGGATGTGATACCGGGGGGGGGGCGGAAGTGAGAATGGTGGGTTTTGTGATTGGTTTTTTTTGGTGAGGTCGTTGCTACCATTTGTTGTGGTGGCTGCATAGGATTAGGGGTGGGATGATGAGTTGGTGGTCAGGGAGGTTGTAGTGAGGTATCATGGGTATGATACCGGTAGGGGAAAAAGTTACATCTTGATTGTTTGCAGGAAGAGAAACTTCACAAAAAACTCTTCCTTTGGACAAAGCTACTGGGACTATCATACCGATAGTAATGATATTAGATTGGTGAACTTCTGACGGTAGAAACAAATCATCAAATCTCAATCCCAACGTAGACGTTCACCAGTCTACTACACTTGACAATTCTTACAGGACTTTCTTTCCAGACAAATTATGACAGCAGAGAACTGCATCGTTTGCAACCCCAAGATTTCCTCAACCCCTCGGACAGCGCCCAAAAGTCGATGAAACCCGCCAGGGAATAAATCAAAAATTAAGCAACCCAGAAGACCCGAAGACCTTTGGCAGAGGCTCGCGTCCTCGCTGTGCAATGAGGTCGGAGATCCCTGAGTCTCAACTATCCGTGAGCAATCAAGACTGTCGCCAGGTAAGTATGAGGAAATAAGAGGGGTGTGGGGGAGCGCGGGTTTAAATAGGGATTCCCGGGACTGAATGCCAAGAGAAATTTGGCCGATGGTAGGGTTTGGGGCTTAGGGTTCCAGAGTAGAGGGTTTAACGGTTCTTGGTGACACAAGAGATATTGTTGAAACACATTGTGTTTTAGACCCGAAATTTATTTGACTTTTTATGTTATAATTTGGTTTGCTCTACCAGTGGAAAGTGTAGAAGTCTCCGTGGAATGGTATGACCTAAGCTTGGTTGAATTGGAAGGGCCGATAATTAGCTACAGTACGGTACTTACTAGGTTACTCGTAAAGTGTTTTGTTCGCCGCAGTGTTTTTGCTCATTCGGGTGTTTTGCATGTAAAATTTCCTTCCTTCCTGGCTTAAGCTCTCCCCGCCTTTCTAGAGTTATTGGTGGACGTCGGATAGGTACTGCCGGGATAATACATTGTAAAGTTATAAAGCAGAGTTGCCGCGTTTCTGCCAGGCAAGCAAGAAATCGTAATGTTGGGGTTATGAGCACAGGATAGCGGCCTCGTCAGATATTCGGGCAGTACACGGGGGTTTTGGAAACAATCTGTTCCATTTGAACTGGTCTTGAGTCTGCAGCCTAATAACACATACCCCTGGGTCACATGGAGATCTTGCAGGGAGCTTTGTTTTATATTTTCCACCATCAGATATATGTTGATCCTGGTTTTACTCTTTTCGTTTTTCCTTTCCTCTACTCGAGTACCCATTCCGCCAAGCCTTCCAGTTTTGGGAGAAGAAGGAAGAAAGGGACGCAACAGATCTGGTTAGGTTTTTTTAGATCGTGGGTATTCGTTTTTCATGTTCCAGTAGATACAAGATTATTAACCTACATGCAGACTTCGTGGAAACTCAACCAAGCCTTTTCCTTTTTCATTTTACCCTTCTTCTTGTTAGCTACTTCAGTGGTATTAGCACTGGCCACCCCGTTTGTAGCGCCAAGAGCAGCTTCTTCAACCGGTACTAGACGCTTTCGTCTGACTACTGGAAGTTCGGCCTTTGTCCCTCCAGTCATTTTATTGCATTTTGAGCAGGGGGTTGTGAATAATGAGGTGTATGTTCCAATCATTTCCTAGTTAATAGGGTTAGTGGTGTTTATCATCATAAATAAATCTGGGCCTATTACCAGCAGCATTTGAAGATTTCCGGCGTTGGGCCGCATAGTGATACTGCGCAGAAGAGCGGTGTAAAGATGGGGGGCTGGTTGTTGCTCGGGTTTTTTAGAATTGACGATGGAAGTAACGATGAAGCGGCGAGTGCTTGTAGCTGGATCCGACTTGTCCATCGATATTGAAGAATTAGCGGATAAGTTCATGTCGATGGTGAAGAGGAGATCGGTTGGCGTTGGTAATTTAAGCTGTGCCCGCAGGGCGATGGGTAAACAAACTTGAGCAATCGGGGTACGGAAGCCAAAGATCTTACTTTGATAGTTCTCTTTCCAGACTCCTCTCCGTCGCTGACTTCAACCCCAATGCTCGGATGTCTCCCTTTGAAATCTCCGATCACTGTAGGGATCTCTGCGTCTGAGGTTTCTATTTCGTCTTCCTTCATTTCATCCTCCTCTTCCTCCTCGGGCTGATCGCTGGCATCTTTCATCTCTGTGTCCTCGGGTTTAGGGGCAACCTTCAACTCTTCCTCTTCCTCCTCCTCATCATCTGGCATGAAAGTGTCGTGGACTGAGAGTCTCTGTATCCCCTCAGGCTTCTTCGCTCGTGACGCGCCTGCGCCATCGAAAATTTCCTTGTTATCGACCCACGATGAGTTAAAATCCAACACCTCCTGTGAGCTGCTTTGCGCTCTATTTGCAAGATCGGCGTAGAATTCTGCGGCTGTGGGGAAAAGATGGTCAGCCTTATCCGTCCCGCGGGAGAAATTTCGACTTACGGGAAGGATATTTTGTGGATAGCGGCAACGTCAGACGTGGAATAACCGTGCGAAGACTGATCAACTATAATGAAGGTAAAGAGGGAAGAGACAGAAGTTTAGATTGGTATTCCCTCGGCGCTGGGAGCCAATACGGAAACAAACGAACCTTATTGTGAAGATCGTCAAGACGTTTGAGCGAGTCGACTAGCTTCTCCTCGTTCCATTCCTCGGAACCTGCTGGCTGCTGGCTTTGCAGCTGTTGAAGCTGCGGCGGCGGAGGCGCGTTCCCATTCGGTTTCGACATAGAGAGATCAGTTGAAAAAGGGGATTATTAGTTGGGGGACTCAGGTGGGAATTTTTGTGGAATACGGTAGCACTGAGCGAGAGTTGAGGGTGGGATGGACTAGACGCGGGTAGTTGCTGAGGAGAGCGACAAGCACCCGCCCCTCTATTCACTGAGGTCGCTCACAATGAAAAAAATATTATTGTGAACATCGGAGCCTATCCCAGTCCCTTCCGCCAAATCCGTGATTTAGGTATGATACATGACAAGCACATCCTTGGGAATACAGCTGTTGCAGATAAAAAAAACTCAAAGCAAAAGGCAAAGACAAAAAGGACACCAGTAAAAGCAAACCCAAAGCTGATGCTGCCCTACAGGCAACCCTCAAAGTGAACATACGTCCCAATAAGAGAATTTTCTTGAAATACTGTGTCATCCTCCACAAGGAGATCGTGATCTAACCTGAAAACCATCCATGGGCGAGGGAAATTTCATTCGATTTGGGGGAACAATCGAAACCAAAATCTTCGTGGCAGTTTAATTGTGCCAAATTGTGCAATCAACTCTAATTGCCAGACACAATTCTCATCTGATTGGTTTGTTTGTACATCAAAGTAGATTTTTTTGATCCTCATCTAATGAATTCTGTCGGGATAGAACTTTGGGAGAATCTTTAAAGTTTCACCATTCCTGATAAAATGGCCTACTTATATCTGTGATAAGGTGAGCACTCAGGGTCCACCAGGTCCCCATGTATCTTCTTATGAATCTATTCCCATTCTTCCGTGTAGAGGAGCCAAGACAAGCATGTCTTGCTAGCTCAAAAAGGGCCATGATTCCCATATGCTTGCAGTGACAGTTGCCTGTAATGGTCATTGCCCTTGTATTCCCTATCGTACAAAAGAAATAGCGACAGAGACGCTACGATATAAAGAGCCTAGATCAGGTCGATACCATCTCTCGGCCCCGTAGGCAACCTATTCTCCGGCCCATTCAGGCTTTGTCCTATTGACAAACGCAGTCATTCCGGTCTTTTGATCCTTAGTAGAGAACAATGCATGGAATACCCTCCTCTCGTACTTCACACCCTCACTCAACCCAACCTCGAAACTCTGATTGACAACCTCCTTGGCCGCTTTTACCGCCAGCGCTCCGTATCCCGCAATCGTCTCTGCGGTTTCCAATGCTCCCTCAACACATTTCTCAGGAGTCTCAAACACCCTCGCCACAAGGCCCCATCTCTCCGCTTCCTCAGCAGAGAACGTCTTTCCAGTGAGAATTAATTCCATAGCCCTCGCTTTCCCGATAGCTCTAACTAGCCGCTGGGATCCTCCTGCGCCCGGGATAACTCCCAATGTGATTTCCGGTTGGCCGAATGTAGCCGTTGGTCCACAATAGATGATGTCGGCCATCATGGCGAGTTCGCAACCGCCTCCAAGAGCGTGCCCATTGACAGCAGCGATGACGGGTTTCGATATTTGCGTGACGTCCGACCACAGCCTGATAAAGTCTTTACTGTACGCTTCCGAGAATGTCAAGTTCTGCATTTCCTTGATATCGGCGCCCGCAGCGAAAGCCCTTTCGCTGCCGGTAATGATAATTGCACCGATTGCCTTTGAGTCATCGAATGCGCGAAGAGCATCGTTAAGCTCGGACATAAGAGGAGTGTTCAAGGCATTGACTTTTGGGCGGTTGAGAGTAACTAGGAACTCAATCATAAGCAATCGGCCCAATTGACGTTCTAGGAGGCTGCTTAATACTTACCCTGCCCTACACCCGGCCTGGGGGAAGAAACCAGAATGTGTTCGTAAGATTTAGAGCTTAGGGAAGACATTGGATGGACAAGACGAGGGACTATAGGAGAAATAAGGCGGGCGGGGGTAGGTCGAATGAAACGAGCAAACATATTGTGGGGTGTATGATAGGCTTTTGAGGCACAGTACGAGTACGGTACGTATGATTGGAAGTGGTTCATGTAACATACTCCAGTAGTTCCGGCCCGCCACCCATAGCACCCTGCACCTGGGCAGATGCAACGGGGGACGCCTTAGCACAAAATCCCATTTTAAAAAAGCTGCAACAAAGTTCAGTTCCCGTTCATGTCATTTTTTTTCTTCTTCTTAATTATTACAGGTGGGGTGAAAAAAGTGAGTGGGCACACTCAGTTTCAACAACAACCATCCCCAAAACTCATCACCCCGTATACACAGCCTAAATGCCGAGAACAATCAACGGAAAGCGACATGAATGCACAAAATTAGAGTGTGTGGAGGTGATTGAACTCCATGCTGTTGGTTATACCCACTGCCAAATTGCCGACTGCACGGCTGTATCAAAGTCAAACATTGCAAAAATCATTCGGAAGTGGAAGACGACCAAATCAGACCTCGTGAGCTGCGAAGGCTTAATCGAACAGCAGAGCAAAACCTCAGGGCCACTTTAGCAGAGATTACCGCCGAGTTTGGGTTAAATTGTCATCCGTGCACGATTAAGAAATCGCTCCATAAACTTGACTTTCACTTGAGAATCCCATGTCACAAGTCTTTTCTTGATTCCAAAACTAAGAGGAAAAGGCTTCTGTGGTGTAGGCAAAGGCGATATTGGACAGTAGAGGACTGGAGACGGCAGTTTTATTCTGATGAGGTGAAGATTGAGATTGGAATTGGGGGTGGGATGAATCAGGTTTGGCAGAAACCTGGCACAGAGATGCAAGATTGCTATCTCCGTGCGAGTTTTAAAGGTGAGAGGGTTTTGGCAATGCTTTAGGCTGCAATAGGCTATGGGCAGTGGAGTAGCCTTCTACACATTTGTCAGAGGCCTCCTTCAGAGTATTGTCGACTGAATGATAGTAGGGATATGGACTCACAGCAATATTGCGAGGAGGTTCTTACTCCCAGCTTTCTTCCCTTGTGGAATGAGGTGGGTGGATCAGCTGGAGGCTTTTCTCTGGTTGAGGACGGTTCTCACATCCATATCTTGGCCTACAGTGGTCAATTCAAACTCAGTAATGACATAGTCTGTTCTGACTGGCCAGGATACAGCCTTGACCTTAACTCTATTGAAAACGTTTAGTGTACTCTGAAACGAAGACTTAAGATACGCTTTCAGACTCCTTGGCATCGGTCCAAAGAACTCAATGGGCTAATTCAGGCTACTCAAGAAGAATGGGAGGTAATTGAGTAGGCGAAGGTGGATAGATTGATAGACTCTATGCCTATTTGCATTCTTAAGGTTAGACAATGATATGAAGGCCATTCCGGATGGTAAATCTTTCTCCTAGTTTCCTTACTTTATTTGTTCTCTTTATTGGTCAAATGGATTATTTGTAATTGTAAAAGTTTGCATTTTCATAATACTAACAGTGTTTTTCACGTCGTGCCAAGGCTTGTGCCCACTTACTTTTTTCACCCCACTTATATAAAGAGAGAATGTTGCATGCTTTTTCTTACGGTACAAGTACAATACAAGTACAGTGACTTGTACATATAAAAATGCGGGTATCAAAAAAAGGCTATGAACTTAATTCTCTCCTCCACAGTGCCTATTACTAGTACCATAGTCCAAGCATGCGTGAGATGGAAGGGCAGTTCGGGGGGGGTAGACGCCACACACGAAGTGATATCTGATGCTTTGTGCGTGATATCCTGGAAATTATTCTCCAAAGAATCTCTGAAATGTGAGCAGGAGTATCCACAGTTCCTACCCATACATGATCCTATATTGATCAATCATGGTCTGTAGGTTCCTCCTTGTTCCGGCAAATATAGGTGCTACCTTGGGAAAGGTTACCACCTTTAAGGGAAAATTAAGGTTGAACCAGATGACCAGGGTCGATCGTTTGGAGGACCGACACAGGAAAACCCTAGCACAAATGAAGATGCAGAATGGGAGTATGATATATATCATACAGATTCTGGACGGAAGTCCTGATGTTGGTATTCAGCCCGGAGTGACAGTTACACACTAGCGAGCTATCCCACGCCACACTCGATGATAGTGAGTGTTTGCTTGATGTAAATTTACCTCAATTTTTACTGCACCTGGGAACTTTCGCCCACCTTTAGTTTAGTCCCAGTCACAGTGCCCTTGTCAGATATGCCTCTATTTTTATATTTTTATTTTGTTAAATCCACACTGTGCTTTTAGGTATCGGTCAAACATCTCCTTGGATACAACCAGTAGGGGTTTTCAAAGTTAAAATGATGGTTGAAGGTAAAATGATCAATACATAGTAGTGTATTAGTATATATTAGTATGCATTAGTATATATATCAATTGTGGCCAATTGTATCCAAGAATTGTAAGTAATAAATCTGAAGCTCTTGAAAATGTGGGGTAAGTTGAGCTAGGATTTCAGTTGTAGAATAAGAGAAAGTTTTTTCCTCACTTGTGTCATAATAGAAACAATAATTTCCTTCTTTACAATAATAGCTGAAGTGCAACAAATAGGTGGCGGAGGGGAAGGGCGCCATGATTCATATTCGATTTGGACAGAAAACGAGAATGAGCAGCTCATCCGGTAGCTAGAGGATCCAGACAATCTGCGAAAGATAAAAAAAAAAATCTGAAGTTTTGTAAAAAGCACTCATCACCAAGATTTCTCTACAAATTCCCATGAAACCTACCATCAAGGTTGGCTACAAGTATGATAACATTCTGAAATCATATAGGGCAGCTGCAAAGCTCAATAATTAATCAGAGTAGGGATTTACTGAAACAGATATGGATGAAGGAAGAAGGAGTTTAAGAGGTATGTATATTAAATATTATTTGTATATACATTGAGGTAAGAAAAAGTGAAAGACATGACAGAGAAAGAAAAAAGAAAAAAAAAAAAGTTAATTCAAATGAATGAAAAAAAAAAAAAGATGAGTGACAATAAAAGACAGTATGCTAATACTTATAGAAAAACTGCTATTATGGCGCTCTTACTTCTTTCTCTTAGAGAATATTTTAGGTGACTGATTGGATGTATGTCTACCAGCCATCTATGATTCGGACTCCGGTGAAAGGGAAGCAACAGAAGTCGAAACTCTTCTAGGTGCAATGGTGACTCCAACCAGCGCTTAGGAAATCAGGGAGAGTACAAATGATGAAGAAGCGAATAGAGTAAAAGAGGTAGGAATAAATTGGAAAGGGGAGAGAGAAGAGTGAGAGATAAGGTAGAAAGAAGGGGGTGCAGAGAATGATAGAGTAAAAGAGGAATGGCCAGGAGAGATTGGTTTGGAAGAAGAGGGGTGAAAAATTGGGGAAGTGGTACAAATGGGGTTAGAGGTTAGAAGAGGGAGGAGTGGGATGGCAGAGAGAGGGGCAGTTGAGAGAAGTGGTGAAGGAGAAAGTGAAGAAGTGAGTCAAAGAAGAGAAAAAGGAAGATAAGTTGTATCTATCTAATTGTTAATTGGTAAAGGGCAATAAAAGAAACTAATCAAGTTAGAAATCAATCGATACTTACCTCAGCAATTAGGGGTACTACGTGACGTTGTTTTCTCAAAATACTTGACGATGAATATGTAGAAGTCAACTTAAGTATGAGAAGGTGCAGAGAAGAATCTACAAATAAAAAGAAAGGAGGATCGACTGATCTTATTAACACTATTTGTATTTTAGCTTCATCAAAATCTGAGAGAGAGATAAGGAAGTTTGACTTTCTTATTGTAACGATCCCTCTCTGTATAGTTAGTTCTTGGCGATGGGGAATGATACTTATCGGTTCTGTCTCCTTCTCTCTTTGTCCTACGATAGCTCTAGGTCTCTGCCTACGTTACCAATAGTACAAGACCTTTGTCTTCTATCGGGAACGCCTATCGTAAGCTTTCTCTAACTCTTCTTCGTCAAGTGCCTTCCTTGGCGTAACGATAACATTGCAATAAGGATAATGATCATAAAGGTATTTTATATTTGTTAAAGTAATAAGTAGGAAAAGTACTTAGAACAAAGCGTGAAGAACCTATCTTCCTCAGCCGCATCGGCCTCCTTATATAGTGTTCTTCCTGCCTTTAGTCATGTGACCTAAAGTGGTCACATGTGCGAAACTAAATCACAACAAACTAGTCATGTGACCAAAGTGATCACATGCTCAAAACCTATGATCTTCTAGCAAGATTATGTGCGAAACTCATAAACCAATCATAACGCAATAACCAAGTCATATGACTCGACTGAGTCATATGCACAAAACCCATGACATCATAATGAGGTCATGTGCGAAACATAAATCATATGCGCAAGGCTTACCTATAAGGCACACTCGTAAGGCATACTCGTCAGGCGCATGTCCCATGACTCATACTTGAGCCATGTGCGAAAGCATCACAAATCCCACACATAACTAATCATATAACCCGAATAGGTCATATGCGTGAAACAATAACATACCTGTGACTCATAACCATGTGTCACGTGAAAAACCCTTTCCTCGCTAAGCCACGTTCGTGACACTTATAGAGTACTTATAGTAGTAAGGAAAGTTACAAAGACAGGAATTTGCTCTTATGTGTGAGAGATTAGCAATTGAAAAGAGAAAAAAATACAACTGAGCAGTAATGAACTGAAATGATGATACTGGAGTTACAAGCATCTATTAAGTGAAGATTGAGTAGAGGAGTTGAACAATGGGAGATGATCAAGAGAGTTAAGACTGATTTGACAAAAAAGACAATAAAGATATTATTGAACTTAATCAAATTTAAATTTTCAATTATTTTTTGTTTATTCTTCTCTGAGATTATTTGTTTTATTATTCTATTGTTTATTCTACTTGTTTATTTTACTTGTTTGTTTGAATTTTTTTTTTATTTTTAATTTTGATATTTTTAATTGTATTATCAATCAATAGTTATCAATTAATTAGTTAAAAAAAAAAATTCTGGCATTTGATATCTCTATTCTGTTCCAGCTCAATGCTCT